GGAAGAGGGGGCCAGTTCAGGAAACCCAGCAGAGGCGGGAAGGGAGGCGGCCGCAGTTTAATTGTGGAAGAGCCTCTGCAGCCCCAGCCCCATCCCCTCCCTGCCCACAGCCCCCACGTCCTCTGCACACACTTTCCCATGCTTCCCACGTTTTCTTCCAGGGCTTCTGGGCATCATCAGACTCTTTCCCAGCGTCTGCCTTCCTGGAGGGTGGGTTTGTTGTCTCCTGTGCTCACCTCCTGGATGCGTCGTGGGGTCTTCTCTGGCTGTGCCAAGCTTCCAACAGCAGCCCCCCGAGGACCAGGAGGATCAGGCCAGACACACCCAACCGGACGGCGTTCCCCACTGTGTAGTCGTGGGTGGTTGAGTCTGGAGATTGAGGACAAAGAGGGCACTGAGGTCAGGGTAACGCACAGTCGCCCCAGGTTCCCTAGATGTCTGTCCACGTCACCCGAGTTCAATGGACTGGACTTGAGCCTTTTCCCTTAGCCCCATAGCTGGGATTTACACCTCACTCTCCACTCTTGGAATCTGACTGATTCTGTGATGGTCCCACGTGTCAGCTGGCCCAGCGAATCAGTCACACGCAGGCTATGGGAGAGGAGACGTGGGAATGCCATGTCGTGTCTTCTCCGACCTGCAGGGAGTCCGTGTATCTGATTCTTCCCTGAGATGAGCAAATTTGGCACATTGTCTGCATGTAATGAGGATATTAAGGAGACATTTTGGGTCTTATTTTTTCTGGAGAACAGGAGCATGATGACCGAAGCACTGGGCCTACCTGTTAGTTCTTCCCCCATAGCCAGCTCCTTGTGTCTCTGAGTTAGGATTGTATATTTTCACATCACTTTTATTTCTTCTGTATATCAATCTCTTCTTTAGAATATAAATGGTGGATGGTATGCAATACACCGTGCAGTCTTTCTGGGATCAAGGATCACCACAATTACTAGACCTACTTATTTATTGAGTTTGTATCCTAGATAGTGAGATTGGTGAAAAACAAGCAGAAAAGATAAGTGATAGAAGAAAATGTTTAGATAAACACCTGGACAACGTACAGTTATGTATCGATGTAAGATACATAAGGAAATGTCATCTGCTAAGATGACAAAGGAAATTCTGGGAAATCCCTGGGAACCCTAAGAGGGGGAGGGGCCCTCACAGGAGCTCTGGTGGGGGCTGCTCTGGAGGACACCCTGACCCAGCCGGCCCCCCGGGGCTCATGGGAGCTGAGCGGGAATCCTGCCGTCTCTCCACACCCTAGTAATGACAGTGGTTCCCAGTGGACACAGAAACAGCTCTGGGTGGACTCATGTTCTTTTCCCACAGGGACTCACTGGCCATAAAGTTCTAAACTGAGCTTTTTCCAATCCTTGATTGGATTGTGCTTTGTTAGATGAGAGAACCTTGTCCCAGGTACAAATAGGGTTTTGTCACTGGGATTCACCTCCCGGGGGTTAAGCCAACTACACTTCTGCTTAGACTGTCAGCAGACCCCCAATCACCCTGACCTGTAAGTGAGAGGACCCCCTGACTCCATCTCCCACGTGGGCCTGGCTCCATAGGGGCCCCGAGGAAGCACTACCCTGATTCAGCACCAAGGACAGAGGCAGACATGGCGCCTGCTCCTTCTCCGCCCAGGCGCTGCCCAGCCTCCCCTCCATGCATTTGCTCTGCGCTGACCACACAGGCCCCGTGACCGTATTGCTACTTGAGACATCAAGCCAGTTCTTTTAATCTCCACCTTTATCCCCAGGACTTGAGGAAACAAATTCTTTTGTAACTATTTGATGTGTTGAAGTATAAACTGAGAAACTATCAGAAGCTTGGTTGAGTCTGTGTCTTCTCTAGATTAAGAGGACTCTGGTACCCAAGAGACATGAAGTTTGTCCGTGAGGGTGAGGGTCTGCAGACCCCAATTGCTGCATGAAACAGGGACCAGGGGAGGATGTGGGGCTGTGCCTGCCTCTCCTTGTCCCCTATTGTCTCATGTGGTTTCCTCAAATATTGGCCCTTCTCACTCTTCAGTCTCCTCCCACATATTTCAGCATTGCCTGGGTGTGGTCAGGCATGGAGAGCGTGGGGTATGCCCTGCCTTCTCCATCTCATTATGGGGTGGAATTCCCCCTGATGATGGCCTCCCTGGTTCCCCTTTCATCCCACCCCAGCCCAGAGCTGTCCTGGGACAGAGTCTGCTCCCTCAATGGACATGGGATGGGAGACCCTCACCTGAGACCAGGAGCTCCAGCTCCGTGTGACAAGTCACAGTTTCCTTTGCAGCTGCAATCTGCCTTCCCTGTAAAGTGGTCAAGGAGACAGAAGGTTCTGGGACCCTCGAGACCAGGTCTGAGTCTCAGCAGACCCCACATGCTCTGCCTCCACCTCGTGTGACACCCCAATCCAGAGGATGACCTCTGTCCTGGAATATGAGGGTAGAGGAGGCCAGGCATGACTCAGGAGCACCCAGTTTCTGTTCCACCTCTCACCGCCTTTTCTGGAACCCGCGTAACCATGGCCATTCCACTTCCTTCTCCTGAGACAACATAAGTGCAAAGGTCCTTCCAGCCTTTCTCCATCTGACAACCAACCAATGTTTACTGAGCAGGTGCCTTGTCCAGGCATGGAGATCATTGGGAAAGGTGACCAATCCCTCCCCTGGGCACACACAGTGTTGCTTAGTGATATCAGACGGCACAAATATTTAGGCACTGGATGATGCTGGTGTCATTTTGGTAAGTTTCAGAGGAGAAAATGTGGCAGAGGTTCCGTAACAGTTGGGCCTCGTGGAATGTGGGGAGGGATGAAGACACACTAGGGGTCAGCACAGGGGGTGAGAGAACCCTCAACCAGGACATACATCATTATTCTAGGAGCTGGGAGTCACCAGGGTGTGCTGTGCCCTGGTCACACAGGGCCCCTTGCTTCCTGTAGGTACTCCTGGGTTTGATTGTTAAGGTTACAGGAAAAATTTCTGTAAAAAAACAAAAAACAAAAACAAACTGCGTGAGCAGGTCGCTGCTTTGTGCAGATACCACTCTGCAGGAGTAGGCTGTTGGAGTGAGGAATGGAGGATAAAGTGTGATGAAACTCCTACACTAATCTAATACTGAGGTGACGAGCTGACCAGCACTCTTTGCCGTTTATAAGCATTTCTCATGAAACCCTAACACAAATCCCAGAACACAAACACATTTAAAGCTGAGTGAAAAGAGGCGGGAATGTTTCTTTGTCCATATCTTGGTCCAGGAGTGTGCAGAGGACTCTGCTCTGAGCAGATGGCTCAGAGGGTTCCCAGGAGAAGCATTGTGTGGTCATGTCCCAGGGATGTGTGAGTCTGGGGAGGGGAGATGGGCCCTGGGAAAGGCCTGGTGTGCAGGGAGGAGTTGGCTCCGCTTGGGATGGAGGGTGTAGCTCAGCCTGATCTGTGGCAACAGGGACCGTCAGGTGGAGCTGCCTGGATGTTGCTGGAGCAGGTGGGGACCTGTGGGGAGGCTTTGTGCAGGGCGGGTCCGGGACAGGTAAGTTAGGGGACATGGGAGTAAAACTCTTCAGCTTGGTGAGAGGGTCTGCAGGGGGCCAGAGAGGATGATGAGGTCCCACCAATAGGATGTCCTGGGTCTTCACCTAAGTGTGACTGAGGAGGGGAACTGGGTCACAGAAAGTGAGGCTCAGGGTCAGAGCTGTAAGTGTGTTTGTTGTGTGGGGGCAAGAGAGGGAAGAGCTGAGGCCCCTCCGCTCTCTGCCTGGGTGGCCTGGGGAGCCAATGGGGCTGTTCCAGGACTGACCACCCCAGCGACAGGTAGGAGGCCCTGGGAGAAGGTTACAGCAGTGTCACCTAGGCAGGTATTTGGTTCTGTCTGTCCCTGGCACTTCCTCTCTCTGCCTCCCTTGCATCTGTGAGCAGGAGACCTTCTCTGCAGGTCTCCGTTCCGGGCCCTTGGGGCATGTCTGCCTCCTCAGGGCCCTGCTCTGGGAGGGGATAACCCGCCCTCTGACCCTGTTCAGTCCACCCCCATGTGCTGGGCAAAAGCCCTTGTTGCAGACTATTCGCAGGTTTTAATCTAAGACATGGGGAAGCATTTATTGACCATCTGTCTGAGCCAGTCACCCCCCTCTCCCTATCCATTGCAGACAAGGCTGGAAGCTCAGCCTCACGGTGGTTGTGAGGATCAGCAGAGCCTGGGACACGAAGAGGCTCCATTGGAGTCATTCCTGGGGCCTGACTTAGATGCGGGCATGAGAGACTTGTGGCTGGAAGGGCTACTGGGAAGCCACATCTGTGTCCCCCAAGCCATGAGGGGGAATCAGAAGCTCCAGGGCGTCCTTGGCCGAATGGCACGTGAGCCCCGACTGAGAGGAGACAGGGATGCGGCAGCTCGTCCTGTGTCCTGGTCTCAGCCCCTCTCAGGAGTGAGGGTGGGGACCCCACCAGGGGCTGAGCCCTGAGCACAGGGCACAGAGCGCATCTCGGACCTGGTAGGGGTCCTGCGTCCCATGAAAGTGCACGGGGACGCGGGGCAACTTCTAAGGTGAAAAGGATCCACAGGGAACCATGGGGATGGACTTGCATTACTTTATATTGATATAAAATTCTCATAACATAAAAACAAGCCTTTTAAAATATATAATTCACTGGATTTTAGTGAATTCCCAGTGTTGCACTAGCACTTGTATGTAGTTTTAAGGGATTCTACTGACTCCATAATACAATATGCAGCCCTCAGTCTCCCATCTCTCCTCCCGTCAGCCCCTGACAAGCCAGTCTGACTTCCGTCTCTGGGGGTTTCCTTTTCCCGGACATTCCAAACAAACACAATCACAGAAAACATGATCTTTTCTGTCTGGCTTCTGTCAAATAGCTGCAGAATGTTGCTATTTACCCACCAGGTAGCAGGTGTAACACCTTGCTCTTTATGGCTTAAAAAAAAACCACTCCAGGATTATGAAGACACCACGTGTTGTTGTGAATGGGATCCAACCTGAAGGGTGTGTACAGATGTGGATTAAAACCAGCTGCGTGGGACGGCCCCTCATGTCACAAGGGTGAGAACAGAAGGACAGTCAGGGGGAGTCTGTATGACAAAAGGGGACAGCCCCTCAGTGGGATTCAGGAGGCGTCTCCACGGGAACACAGCTCACATTTCCTGCCCCCAACCTCGTCAGCCACGTCTGCTCCCCTGGACTATCGCAGCAGACACTTTCCCCACCTGGGGTCCATGGTGTCTTTCACTGCTTCCTGGGTCATCGGATGGGATCCATGCCTCCCCAGCTCTGAACTGTGCCCTCTTCTCTGTGGTCACATCCTGGCGGCAGCGTGGGCCGTCCTCTCGCTGCCTCGAGCCTGAAGCAGCAGCCCCCCGAGGACCAGCAGCACCAGGCCAGCCACGCCCATGCGGACGAGATTCCCCGCTGTGTAGTCTTGAGGGTGGGAGGCTGAGAAATGTGGAGACAGAGGTGACCATGGTCAGGGAGCCCCCAGTCTCCAGGACTCTGCTGCCTCCCCCAGCCTTCCCCCTCCCCTTCACGTCCGTGTCCCTGGGATTTTTTTCCTTAAAGATTTTATTTACTTATTTTTAGAAAGAGGGGAAGGGAGAAAGAGAGGGAGAGAAACATCAATGTGTGGGTACCTCTCGCACATGCCCCACTGGGGACCTGGCCCGCAACCCAGGCCTGTGCCCTGACTGGGAATCAAACCAATGACCCTTTGGTTCATAGGCCAGTGCCAATCCACTGAGCCCCACCAGCCAGGGCTATTTATTGTTTTATTAATTCATTTTTATATAATAACAAATCTTACCAGAGTAAATACACTTACCAGATGAGAAATATGGGCATGTGGATGAATATTTATAGATATATATGTTTAATATCAATATAAGAGTAAATACTGGGTGGGGCAAAAGTAGGTTTAGTTGTGTGTACATGATACACAGAGTTAGTTTTTGTGTCATAATTTATTAATTGTTGCATTATCTTTTGTACAAACAACTGTAAACCTCCTTTTGCCTCTCCCTATATATGTATATTTTATAGAATATATTATAAAATATTATGTAAAATGAATATGTACATAAATACTAAAGTATATTTCGTAATCTATTTGTGCTGGGCTGATATATATTATTTATGTGATTGTGTAGGGAAAGACAGAGAGAAAGATAGAGAGAGAGACTTGAAATGAACAGGTGAGGAGGAGGCACATCCCCCGCAGGGTCTACTCTGCTCTTCAATAGGGAATAACATCTCATCTGTGGGGTGCAGTGGGGGGACAGGGGAGAAGGGGAACTGAGACTCAGGGTCTTGGGACATAGGGTCAGAGGTCAGGTCAGGTGCACAGAAGGGGCAGGGCCATCGTCTTCTCAAAGTTTAGAAAGTCTGGCAAGATTTCGTGGATGGACGGCTAATCAAACAATTTTTACTCCAAAAAACAGCCTCCGTGTACTACTTACCATGGCTTCTAAGCAAGGAGGTGCACAGTTGTGGTTTTCAAACTTTAAGGAACAGAGAAATCTCCCCAAATTGGAGTATTTTGTGAGCACCAAAAGTAGGAAATTATGTCAGTCTGTTTCCCCATTTGATATAGAAAACAAGATGTAAAAAAATTATGGACTTGTCCTAATTCCAAAGATCCATGTAAACATTCTAAGTATTAGCTCACACAGTTCAGAAAGTGCACATCAATGACAAATCCAAATGGTTGGAACCAGGAAGCCTTTGTAATATGTCTCACGTGGTTATAAATCAGAGAGACAAGATAATTTTTAGGAGATGTGTATCGGTCAGTAAAACAAAAAAAGGCATTCCTAATAAAATCCAACGTAACTGAAAAATGTATTGAAACAAGAGTTGATAGTACATTCAATACAAAATGTACATATCTTAATGAGTTTGCCTTGAAATAGTCTGGGGTATAAATGAAAATGTTTTTCAGAGGTAAAACTGTGGAACATTTTACTTTGTCATTTTATCATGTGGAATTTGGAATGAGAAAAAACACAGTCTGGAATAAATGAAATTACCTTTGACTCTGGCTATTACAATTTTCTCAGTCGATCAGAAGGGTCAATTGAAAAACAATCCAAAGGTAGAGAATCTTTAGGAAGCTAAATAGGTCATGAAATATATATACACGGAAAGCAATAGCTTTCCTATGTGCACTTACTGTAATTCAGAATATGTAAGGGAATCAAGCTGCTTACTCACAAATTACGTTATTAGATGTGTATTTCTTAAAGTAGCCTATAAATTTACCAGTTTTACAACTACCTAACAAAGTGCTGCTGTAGTTCACTAAAACCACATTTGAAATGAACATAACAAGAAGACTGAATAGTAACAAGAAGTAATCTCCACAACAAATGTATGAATTTAATCTCCCTCCTATCAAAATAGGAATAGCTTTACATGCATTTGAGTGCTGACTCCACATAAAGTAAACTAGATGGTGACTCTGTGCACTGAGGCGCGGCCTGAACGTCCTCAGAAAAGAGCAGGAGCAGCCAGAGCGCCCAGAACCGCCGAGGAGCTGGCAGGAGGCCCCTCCCCGCCCCCACCCCCACCCCGGCTGTGGGCGGGAGCCCAGCTCCCCCCACCCGCAGCCTGCGCGGGCCCTCCCGCCCAGGGGAGCAGCGAGGGCTGGAGGCACCAGGTGAGCCCAGGGGCCTGCAGAGCGGGGTAGGGGGCAGGGGGTGCTGCTTTCCCGAGGAGAGGATCGGGGGGGGGGGGCCGGGACCCAGGGGCCCAGGCTCTGAGATGAAGAAGCAGGAGGTGAGTGGGGGAGGGGTCTGTCCTCTGCTCAGTCTAACCGCGTTTCTCCTCCTTTCGCCCACATCTGCCGCCGCCCTCCCTGCTCTTCATCTCGGCCCAGATTCTGAGAAAGGGACTCAGGGGCTGGTCCCCCTCTATGGAATCCCTCCCACTCCTCATTTATTTCTGTCCCCAACTCTCCTTGTAAAGGGCCCTGGGCTGAGTGAGCACAGAAAGGAAGGGGTCAGGGGCCTCACCTGAGACCAGGAGCTCCAGGGCGTCACTGGGCTGCGACAGCAGGTAGGGGCTGCTGTGGTTTGCGCTGTAGCACCTGTAGGTGCCCCCGTGGGCGGAGGTCACGGGCCCCATGGAGAACTCTGCCTGGTGCTGCTGAGCTCGGGGCTGTGGTCTGAGCCGCAGGGGGGGATCGGCCGCCCCCTCCTTGATCAGAAGGAAGCTGTCCCTCGGGCTCTGTGACTGACACAGCAGGGTCACCTTCTCTCCTGAGGCCACCGTGGGGCCTGGCTGCACCGAGAGGGAGGGTCTGTCAGGGAGCCATCCTAGAGAGAGGGGGGCGGGTGAGGGGCTGCTGCCCACCCTGTTCTGACATGAGAGTCACCAGGCCCCTTTCTGAGGACCCTCCTCTCTGTCTGTCTCTGTTTTCTTTGTGTCTCCCCCTCCCCCTCCCATCTCCTGTCTCTCTGTCTCTCTCCCTCCCTGGGGACCCCACACCCCTTGTCCTGGCCATCACCACCTGAAGCCCGCAGCAGGGCCTGATTAGACTCTGGGTCCCTGACTGAACCCGCTGACTCCTCACCTGCCACCAGGATGTCCAGGGGGTCACTGGGGGCCGACCACTCGGAGGAGAGGCTGTGTCCCCCGTAGCACCTGTACCGGCCCCCGTGGGAGCCGCGCACCGTGTCCAGGGGGAAGTCGGCTTGAGAGACCCCCGCCTGGGGCTGCAGGGCAGTGCTCTGGGGGGGGTCCTGTGCCCCCTCCTTGGACAGAGCGAACCTGTCATAGCCGAGGTCCGAGCGGCACTGGAGGGTCAGGTTCTGTCCAGCGGCCACGATGGGGCCCTGCTGGGTCAGGAGGGAGGGCTTCCCTGAGCCTCCTGCAGGGACCAGACGTGAGTGACAGGGGCTGCCCCTCCCATGGACCCTCCCCCTGGCCTGGCCCCAGGTCCCACTGTCTCTCTCTGCGCCTCTGGCCCAGGAGCCCCTGTGCGCCCCTCTCCCCACCTCTCACGTGGGCTCCGCTCCCAGCAAAGTCCCCAGTAACCTGGCTGGTGCTTCAATCCATGGATGTGTCCCAGACGGGACTTCCTCACCTGAGACCAGGAGCTCCAGGGGGTCACTGGGCAGTGACCACACTTGGGGTCTGTTCCTGTAACAGCCATAGCATCTGAGCCTCCACCGGTGGCTGGGGGTCACGGGGCCCACAGGGAACCAGGCCTGGAACTGCCCACTGGGGAGTCGCTGTGAGTCCAGGGTCCAGGGGGGCCTGCGTTCTCCTTCCTTCATCAGAATGAACCTGCCAAATCCCTGCCCTGAGCCACACTGGAGGGTCACGTTCCCTCCTGAGGTCACGACAGGGTTGGGCAGGGCTGAGAGGCTGGGTTCACTGTTGTAGGCTCCTAGGAGAGAAGGAGGCAGCGTGGTAAATGGGGCTCACACCTCCTTCATGTCCCCCAGGGCTGGGCTGTGAGAGGGACACCCTGAGAGCATCCCCCTCCCTGAGGGCAGAGCCTGAGGCTGGGACCCCTGAGTGTCCTCTCACCTGTCACCACCAGATCCAGGGGGTCACTGCGCTCTGACCAGTCAGGGGGGCTGTGATGGTAACAGCGATATAACCCTGCAGTGCGCTCTGTCATCTGTGTGATGGAGAACTTGGCCTTGTCCCTGGGACCCAGTGGCTTCTGTGTGGCCCAAGGCGATGAGGTTCCCTCTTTATCCAGTCGGAACTCCTGGGCCTGCCGAGTCCCCTGACACCAGATGGTCACAGGGCTCCCCCAGGGGATCACAGGGCCTGGCTCCGCCCAGATGGTGGGTTTGGGGAGGGTCCCTGGAAGGAATCAGAGGCTGAGACACAAGACATGTCCCCAGTGCCCAGCTCTCAGCCTCCAGCATCCCAGATGTCCGTCATCTGCCAGCCCAGAGCTGCTGTTCTTCATCCCCAACTTCCCAGGGGATGGCTCCTTGTCCCCAGTGGGGAATGACACCTGGGACCCCTGGGAACAGACTCACCTGCCTGCACTGGGGTCCTCAGGCCCACGCTCAGCCCTGCAAGAGAGTCCCTGTGAGGGATTTGCCCTGAGTCCTGAGCAGAGCCCCCCTCCCCGGGAGCCCCCTGAGCCCTGGGTCCTGACAGAGCAGGGTTTCCCCTCCCCCCTAAATACTCACCGAGGCAGAGCAGGACCGTGACCGTGGGGGGCATGGTCTCCCCTCTGAACCCAGCTGTTCAGGAGGAAGAGACCACGGAGTCCTCAGGGTAGACAGACAGAGGGTGTGGTCACTGGGAGGCTGGCCATCTTTGTCACAGGCTTGTTACACCAGCAGCTTCTCAAGAAGGGGAACAGGGTTTCCAGCCAAGATGGAGGCGTAGGTACACAAACTTTGCTTCCTCACACAACCAAAAGAAGGACAGCAACAAATTTAAAAACAAGAAATAACTAGAACTGCCACAAAGTTGAACTTGTATGGAAGTCCGACAACCAGGGAGCTAAAGGAAAAACCTTCCTCCAGAGCAGGAGGAGGAGTGGAGATGGGTAGTCGGCGCAGAGAGAACATGGGGCAAGGCGGTGGCTGGCGGATGGGGTGGCCTCACATTTGCTTGTGGATAAACCGTAAGGAACAGATGGAGAGCAAGACACAGCATGCAATCCAGGGTTCCAGTGCTGGAAAAGAAGCCTCAAAACCTCTGGAGGTAAAACCTATGGGGGTTGAGATGGCGGGAGAAATGCCCAGCCTCACAGGAGAGCCTGCGGAGAGACCCACCGGGTCCTAGAATGTGCAAAAACCCATCTGCCCATGAGTCAGCACTAGCAGGGCCCAATTTGCTTCTGGGTACAGGGGGAAGTGACTCAAAGCCGGCTGAGAGCCGAGCAAGCAGCATAGCTCTCTCTCGGACCCCTCCCCCACACTCAGGATCACCACACAAAGACCAGGGTTGCCCCGCCCTGGCGAAAACCTAAAGCTCCGCCACTCCCAACATAACAGGTGGGCTGAGACAAAGAAATATGGCCCAAACTAAAGAACAGATCAAAGCTCCAAAAATAGAGCTATGCAGTGAACAGATAGCCAACCTATCAGAGGCACAGTTCAAAACACTGGTAATCTGGATGCTCACTGAATTGGTTGAGTATGGTCACAAAGTGAAAGAAAAAGTGAAGGCTATGCCAAGTGAAATAAAGGAAAACATGCAGGGAATCAACAGTAAAGGGAATGAAACCAAGACTCAAATCAACAATTTGGAGCAGAAGAAAGAGATAAACATTCAACCAGAACAGAATGAAGAAACAAGAATTGAAAAAAAATGAGGAGAGGCTTAGGAACCTCTGGGGCAACTTTAAATATTCCAACACCTGAATCATAGGGGTGCCAGAAGGAGAAGAGGAAGAGCAAGACATTGAAAACTTATTGGAAAAAAATAATGAAAGAGAACTTCCCCAGTCTGGAGAAGGAAATGAACTTTCAGGAGATCCAGAAAGCTCAGAAACTCCCAAAGAAGTTGGACCCATGGAAGCTCACACCAAGGCGCATCCTAATTACATGACCCAAGATTAAAGATAAGGAGAGAATCTTAAAAGCAGCAAGAGAAAAGGAGACAGTTCCCTGCAAAGGAGTTCCCATAAGACTATCAGCTGATTTCTCCAAAGAAACTTTGCAGGCAAGAAGGGGCTGGAAAGGAGTATTCAAAGTCATGAAAGGCAAGGACCTACAACCAAGACTACTCTACCCAGCAAAGCTATCATTTAGAATGGAAGCGCAGATAAAGTGCTTCCAGATAAGGTCCATTGAAAGGAGTATGTCACCACCGAGCCCTTATTATATGAAATGTTAAAGGGACTTATCAAGGAAAAAGAAGATAAAAAACTATGAACAATAAAGTGACAAGAAACTCACACCTGTCAACAACTGAACCTAAAACAAAAATAAAAACAAACAAAGAAAACCGCTAGAACAAGAACAGAATCATAGAAAGGGAGATCAGAGGGGAGGGAGAGGGGGAGAATAGGGGAAAAGGTACAGGGAATAAGCAGCATAAATAGTAGGTACAAAATAGACAGTGGGTGGTTAAGAATCATATAGGAAGTGGAGAAGCCAAAGAGCTTATATGTCAGACCCATGGACATGAACTAGGCAGAGGAGAATGCTAGGCAATGGGGTGGTGCAGGGCAGAGCGGAATAAAGGGGAGAAAAAATAGGCCAACTGTAATAGCATAATCAGTAAAATATATATTTAAAAAAGAAGAGGAATGTGTCACCCCAGAGTCTGGCTCTCATTTTAATGATGGCAGAAAAAATACACCCCAGTCTCCTGAGGGCCCCTTGCAGGTGAGGTGACCCAGGGCACATCCTTCCAGTCAGAGCCTCCCCCATGGTCCCCTCACCCTCTGCCCAGCCATCAGCACCTCCCTGTGGGTCCTCCACGTGGACAGTGGTCACCCAGGCCCTGGAGACACTTCAGGAAGATGGGGGTCCCTGTGCCTGCAGAGCTCAGAGCAGCAGAGACACGGTCTCCTTCTCACTGTGCAGTTCAGGCAAATGTCGCTGGAACAATGAGCAAAAAGGACACATACCGAGAAATAGGGGAAGGACATATGTCCCTCCCCCTGGCCCCAGAGTGTGGCTTTTTTCTATCCCAGCCACCCTCGCAGACTTCTCCTTTTTCTTAACAGCAGCATCGACCCCACCTCCCTGTGAACAAGCCTCTGAGTGGTCCCTGCCCCCTCAGTGCCCTCTGTTCTCTGACTCAAGCCTCCACATGCTGTGGTCCTGCCTTCACGCTTTAGGGGACATTGATTTGGGTTAGAGTCCCGATTTTACTTGGAACAAATATATATTTGAACAACCATCACTGAATGCCCTAGTCACCTGTGTGGTAATGTCCAGTCTCTGCCTCAGTTTCCACATCTGGACCACGTTGTCACAAACCCCAGTCCCCACGGTGGCTGTGGGTCAGTGGTGCTGGTGCATGGGAGGGAAACATCCATTTCTAGACCCGATGAAGATGTCTGTGGGCTGGGACACGAGAGGGTGAAGGTGTCCAGGGTCAAGTGCAGGATTGTTGCACCCACTCGGGACCTTGTCTGCTCTGAATACCAAGCGCAGATACTCACCATGGCGCTCAAGTATGGAGGCACCGACCCATGAGAGAGAGACATGAAAATGGAGTGGGAACCACAGTGGAGAAGAGACACAAAAGCTGGGTGGTCCCCTGTGACCAGAACCATCCCCTGGTCATAGGGAGGCGATTCCCCTCTGTGTGGACAGAAAGTGACCCCCGGTCCTCACAGGAAGTAGGGACAGTGCAGGTGAAGGCTGGAAGCGTGGTCCCTGCCCTGTGTTTCCATTGGGGGCTCTAGGATACCTGTGCCCAGTAGCTCAAGTCCATGGTCAGCAGTGAGCAGTATCCCCTGTGTGCCTTGAAACAGGATGAGTTCAGCCTATCAGCCATGGGTGCCTGTCCCGTGTGTGTATGTGAAGCTCCCATTGGACCAGCCCTAGCGGGCAGAAGGCTGAGCAGATGCTGAGTCTGGGAGAGTGGACGTCGTGGGGTGGGGGCTGTGGCCACAGCCCGTGGTGAACCTGACTCCCAGGACAGCCCTGGGGAACCTGTGGGAGACCAGGTGTGTGTGGGGAGAGACTTCGACAAGAACCGACAGTAGAGAGATCCTAGTAACGACAGAGTGCTGTGGAGAGCCGCCTACTGATAAGGGAGCTGTCATACCCAATGATAGAGAGTCAGTGGGAAAATATGAGAGTGACTTAAGGTGATCGGGTGTAAATGTCTGAAAAAGAAAGGGAAGATTCACATTTTTTTGAGCCAGGAATATGAATTATTTTAGATTAATATAATGAGTTAGGAATCTGAGATGAAATACCCAATAGAATGAACATATTAAAACAATTCTTCCCATCAAGGAGGAGACATAGCTGAGCGTCCAATTATGAAAGTAGAGTAGAATATTGAGGAAATTTCCAGAATGCTGCATGGGGAGACCAGAAGTGGGGAATGAAGGTATCTGGGGACTAGAATGAGGAGAGCCAATGTCACATCTACGGTGTTAGGCAGAAAGACGCGAGCATGACATTTAGTAAGAGCTCCAGAGATAAATATTCAAACATTTTACAGAGGCATGGAAAAACCAGCTCGTGATAGGGGGCACGTATGTAAAAATAAAATCTGTATCTCAGCCTTTTGTGGTAAAGGAAGAAAATGAAGGTTAAATAAAAACACAAACACATATTCTACACTGAATTATACCCATTAAAATAGTTAATTTTAGGCCCTGGCTGGGTAGCTCAGTTGGTTAGAACATTGGCCTCATACCCCAAGGGTTTGGACTTGGTCCCTAGTCCGGGCACATAAATGAATCGACCAATGAATGCATCGATAAGTGGAACAACAATCAATGTTTCTCTCTCTCTCTCTGTCCCACCACTCAAAACAATGAATACTAAAATATTTTGAAGTGCTTAATTTTACTGTAATGTGAATTTCAACTCAAAAAGAAAATCATCGAGGACTGGCCTGGGGCCCTAAAAAGTCCCAAAATTACTTCATAGAGAAAAATGCACGTCACCTTAGTGACACGCTTGCTGGGGCCAGACTCCCTCGGGGCAAAGAGCGGCGCCAGAAGATGGCGGGGACGTGCCTTCCAGGAGCAGATCCTTTGTGAAGGTGGCACACTGAGCCCCCTCAGCTTTAAGAGACAAGGTGAGCATGCGGGCAGGGCAAGTCCCTCAGCAGGAGCCTGCGTCTCCTCCCAGCCCTGCCCCTGTGGCTATGTCTCCAGGAGAGAGAACTGCTTTTTGGGGGAGAGAGCCCTGAACCACAGGGGCCATTTTCCTCTGCCAGGAGTTGAATCACACACTTTATTTGGAATAATAAAGTGTTTCTGAGTTATTGGATAAAGAAAATGAGACCTAAACAAGGCATTTCCAAACCAGCAAGTTTTTGGGTATTTTCATATTTTCACACGTGGTGAAAGGAATAGAAAGGGATGTAATTCGGTTTGAAGAACAATGACACCACCTGGTTAAAACGAGACGCAACAGTGAGGAGAGTGGCAAAAAAATAAAATAAACAGATAAATAAATTGTAATCTCTATGTTGTGACCCAGAAGCTTACATAATATTTGATGTCAACTGTAATTGAAAACTAAAACATTTATAAAAGAAGGAAACCATGTCGTGTGCTATATGGACATATGTGAAGGACAAGTGAAATAAACAAGCCACAAAACAGCAAAACAAAAAGAACAAAAACCATGCACACTTTTTTCAACCACATCAGAATTACAACAAAACTACAGAAAAACCGTCACCCAGAACTTCCTGCATTGCAGCTGAACAGAAGTCCTGTTACTCAGGACATAAAGAAGAAACCACATAAAGACTCGGAGACATGAAATGGGCAGGTCCCACACCCATAGGTGGCAGATGGAAGTCAGGAGGGATATGAAGTCAGGAAGGCAGACAGAAGTCAGGAGAAAACAGAATGGCGGTGGAGGTACCCTCTGAAGAGCAAGGGGTGCCAGCTCCACACCGGGCTCCCCAGCCCCAAGTCCCAGTGCTGAAGAAAGAAGTCCCCATAACTTCTTGCTGTGAAAACCAGCGGGGGCTGTGGCTGAGTGAAACAGAGAATTGCTGGGGTCCCAGGCTAATCCACTTAAAAGACTTGCACATGGACTTATGTGGACTCAGTCTCTCTGAGCTCCGGCCCTGGGACAGCAGCTTGAAAGAAACCAGGGACTCACAAGGATGAACCGAGTTTTCTGACCTCAGGGTGAGAGGTAGGGGGCAGCTTTCTGCCACACGGGAGTGCTGGCGGAGGCCACGGTTCCTTTCATGAGCCCCCCACATGCAGCTGCCACGTCTGAGACTCCATCTGCTTGGCTAACACTCCTCATCCTGCCTTGGTGATTCCCTGAGACCCCGCCTCACACAACTTGCAAGGCCAGCCAACCTGCTCCCAGTGGCTTTTCCATATGAATGGCTTCTCTCGCCTCATGCTTCGGATTTTCCTGAAATCTCTCACACCAGTACACCTGAACCCTTATCAATGGCCTAGTGAATGGCGCACAAGTACATGTTTTCTCCAAGGCAGGTCCTAAAGCTGTGTGTTTCTAACTAGGTAAGTGCAATGTATGTGCTCAATTGGTGACTATAATTTGCCCTCCTACAAGTAATGCATTAGAATTCTATCAGCTCACTATTCTCTCCCTGAAGTGTTAGTAAGATTTTCTGTTTGGCATCTCCTCTAGGTGTGTTGAGACCGTGGCCTTGTATTTTCATGGAAACTGCGCCACAACATTGAAGTAGAAATAATCATTACACATGAAATAGATGGCAGCTGAGATGCACCCTGGACTTATCAAAGTGTAGTAATGGTGTGCCACGCTGGCTTGTATTATTTTACGAAAGTCAGCTTGGGCGTTGCTTCCCAACTCTGCATCCGGACCTCCCAGGGGCACCTCGAAGTTGGCCATGAAGGGGCTGTAGGTACCAGAGGAATGGGCAAATGCCAAGAAACTGTGTATTTTTTAAAATGGAATTCATTAGTGTCACATCGGGTAATAAGCCTATGCAGGTTTCAAGTGTACAATTCTGTAATGCATTATCTGTATACTGCATTGTGCTTTTAACACTGGGGTTTTCACAGGCAGTGCAACCCAGGTGATCCCTTCAAACACGAATGTCTTCTTTCGACCCAGGCCTGGGTGGCTCAGTGTGTTGGAGCATCATCCCATAACCAAAAGTCTGTGGTTTCGATTCCCGGTCAGGGCACATACCTAGGTTGCAATACCAATCCCCTGTCCCGGCATGTATGGGAGGCGACCCGTCAATGTTCCTGTCTTACCTCGATATTTCTCTCTCTCTCCCTTCCTCTGTCGCCAACAAAACAAAGTTCAATGTCTTCAGTTGGAGATTAAAAAAAAAAATAGTCTTGATTCCAAGTGATGAGGCTTCTGAAGAAAGGCCACAGGTGGTGTTGGAGGAAAAGGACAGGTGTGTGGCATCCAGAGAGGCGCTGGGACATCATTTTGGATTTATCTCTTATGGCTGAATCTTTGTCATGCCAGCTTATTGATTTATTAAAATAGATTGCATGTTTTGAACTGAGTGGAGGGGGACTCTACACATATATCAATGTATATGTAGTTAGAGAAAAAGGAATATATATTCCCTGAAAGTGTAGGGAGGTGTGGACGTAACCATGCCATGTGGCATAAATGCTAATTTAACGGAAATGGGGAAAGTTAGGAACCAGTCGCAAGACTCAGCAATGGTCAGGAGGGAGACAGGCAGAATTTAATGGCAGAAGGGTCCAGACGTTGTCCCTGCATATGAGCGATGACTCCTCCACCTGCCGTGAGCTGCAGGCAGGTCATGCAGCATGTCCCAGACTATCTTCCAGAACCTTCTGGGCACATGACTTCTTTTCCAAGGCTCTACCTCTCTGAACGGTGCACCTTTCCCGTGAGCTCACTTCCTGGCAGCAGCGTGGGCCCTCCTCTCGCTGTCTCGAGCCTGAAGCAGCAGCCCCCCGAGGACCACCAGCACCAAGCCAGCCACGCCCATGCGGATGAGGTTCCCCACTGTGTAGTCTTGGGGGTGGGAGGTTAGGAATTGTGGACAAAGAGGGCACAGGGGTCAGGACAGACTCAAATCTCCCCAGTCTCCCTGGATGTCCACCCAGCGCACCTGTCTCTCCTTGGCAGACATGACCCTCTGCCCCAGCCCTATAACTGAGGACCCTCAACTCACCACTCTTGTTATCTGGGCTGCTCTGTGACGGGCTGATGGTGTCGGCTGCTCCTGAGAACCAAAAAGAAGTATGGCCCATAAGACGTGATGCCACTCAAGCCCCTTGTCCTAAAAACTCTCCCGTTTCTCATGATGTGACTGCTTCCAGCCCCTCGCACACCCCTCCTCTGCTCTGAGGGTCCTGTCTGCCATCATGGATCTTGTCGGTCTCCTGGTGCCTTCTGAGTGTAGACTTTGCTGCTGAGTCCCTTTGAAACACGGGTTGGCTTTGCCCTGAGAATTCAGGCCTGGTGAGAAATATGGCGAACAGAGAGATTTTTGCAGTCTCTCTGCTCATGTGGGAGACTGAACCATCCAAGCTACCTTTTCTGGAGATGAGAGCACCAATGGACTCAGTAGCTGAGGACTCAGGATCCACGGGTTGGTGTCATCTCTGCACACAGTCATGTGTGTGGTAGACGGACAATTCTTGAACTCCAAGTATAGACAAGTTTACAAACAAAACTTAATTGCACCTGAAGTCAAAATCAAACCTTTTAAAGTATCTTTATTAAACACTTCCTTTTAATAAAAGCTTATTTTTCATAATAAATGGATAAATTTCACATAATTCCTGTTAAAACAGGAGTAGATTTGACAAGTCTTACCTTTAAAACTTCTTGAAGGTAAGTAGATTTGATTTACCTTTGGGAAGTCAAAAATGGTTATAACTTAAATTTACTTAATCAAGGATTGCCTGAAAGTTCCCAGAAAACCTGTTCTAATAGAGGGGAGTGGGCAGGGAAGGCAGAGAACAGACAGGAATCTCACACCGAGTCTGGGCAAGAAGCCCCAATTCCTCATGAGCCGTGCATGGTGTCGCTGCCAAGCCTCAAGGCAGCGAAGAGTGTGGAGGATCCAGGTGAGCCCAGGGGCCGTGAAGAATGATGCCCACAGGTGCACACACTTCTCCCCATGGGAGAGTGTCCAGCGGGGACTCCAGCCTCACGCACAGCAGCCCCACCTGGGCCCGAGCTATCTTATGTCCTCTTCTGAGAGAGTTCGGGGACCCCACTCAGGGTCTCTGGAAATGAGCTGCCGAGGGAGTGTTTGTCCTCTCTCCCACCCTCCTGGCCCCTCCTCCTCCTCCTTCAGCCCAGCCCTCTTCCCTGTATTACAAGCCAGGACTAGACACCAAATCTTGCAAACTGGCACCAGGCGAATTCCACAAGGGCATCGGCTTTTGGTGGAGAATCCCACAGATTCTGCATGGAAGCAGGGACAGCTGGCACGCTAATTGGGAATTTCCAAATCCTCGCAGTCTCCTTCATGTTGAGGCTTCCGCTGGCTAAGCTCAGCCCCCCGGGTGCATGTACCTGTTCCCCGACACCCGCATCTCCCTCCACTGTTTAGCCCGTACAAGGTCACAGTTACGGAGAAGGCAGGACAGACCTAGCGTGGGCTGGACCCTGAGCAGGTCTTGGAGCAGCCACCTGTTGGGTGCCCCAGAAAGTCAGAAATGAACACGCTCCTGCAGGTCAAGGCAAGGCGGCTCCCCTTTACTCACATGGGGACAGGTCCTCAGAGCTCGCCTCCCTGGGGAGCTGAGTCCACACGCACGCGCACACCCACACACTCACACCCTACCCTTTCTCCTGGGGCCCTCCTGTGGGGCTGGCCTCTGGGGAGCAGTGCTGCTTTGGCTCTGAGATGGAGACACCAGAAGGCAGTCAGCTGGGACTCTGTCTTGTGGCTCCAGTCAACTCTCACTTGCTCATGGCATCACCCCGACCAAGGCCACCCTCCTCCCGTGCTCAGCCCTTTCTGCGCCAGCAGGGACGCAGGGTCCCAGGGGCGGGAGGTGCTCATGTTTCCAACTCCCATGGGATGAGCCTTCTCTGGAGCCACCTGGCGCTTCCATTCTTTCCATCACGCCTCAGATTTCCTGGGGACAGGGCCTGCTAGAGACCTCGGAGCTCCAAGAGGACAAGAGCAGGCCAGCTCACCCGAGACCAGGAGCTCTGGGGCCTGAAGGTGCATGAAATCCTAGCCCCAGGGGACACTGAGAGCCCCCACCCTTACGCCCTCAGCCCCTGTCAGGGAGCCGAGGGCGGGGGCTGCCTTCTCCCGACTGGAGCCCAGCTGCTCCTCTCTTCCACTGGGCCCTCTGCTCTGACCGCCCCACCTGTCACCTGCCTTCCTTATCCCTCTATAAGCCTCTCCCAATTGCGGGGGAGGGCAAACCATCAGCGCTCCTGGAGCCTGCGGTTCCCCGCCATCTCGCCCTGACACCCAGATCCTGAGACACAGCCTGACGGTGGATGTGTGAGGGGCATTCGACCCTCAGAGAGACTCAGGAGCTCCCTGGGCTGGTCTGTGTCTCTGGCCCAGGAGCCCCTGTGCCCCCGTCACCCCACCTTCTCACATGGGGCTCCCCTCCCAGCAAAGTCCCCAGGAACCTGGCCGGTGCCTCAGTCCAAGGATGGGGCCAGAACAGGACTTTCTCACCTGAGACCAGGAGCTCCAGGGTGTCACTGGGCTGTGACCATATCAGGGGGCTGTTCCTGTAACAGCCATAGCACCTGAGCCTCCACCTGTGGCTTGGAGTCACGGGGACCACAGGGAACAGGGCCTGGACCTGCCCACTGGGGTGTGGCTGTGAGTCCAGGGTCCAGGAGGGCCTGTGTTCTCCTTCCTTAATGAGAACGAACCTCTCAAATTTCTGCCGTGAGCCACACTGGAGGGTCACGTTCCCTCCTGCGGTCACGACAGGGCTGGGCAGGGCTGAGAGGCTGGGTGTGCTGTAGAATCCTAGGAGAGAAGGAGGCAGCGTGGTAAATGGGGCTTAACCTCCTCACATCCCCTAGGGCTGGGCTGTGAGGGGGAGACACCCTGAGAGCATCCCCCTCCCTGAGGGCAGGGCCTGAGGCTGGGACCCCCGAGTGTCCTCTCACCTGTCACCACCAGCTCCAGGGCGTCACTGTGCTCTGACCAGCCAGTGAGGCTGCGATAGGAACAGTGATATCTCCCCACATCATATTCTGTCATGCGTGTGAAGGAGAACACAGCCTTTTCTCCGGGTTCAAGTGTCTTCTGTGTTTCCAAAGACACTGTGTCTCCCTCTTTCTGCAGATGGAATCGCTGGGCCTGCAGGGTCCCCTGACACCAGATGGTCACGGGGCTCCCTCGTGGGATCACAGAGCCTGGCTCAGCCCAGATGGTGGGTTTGGGGAGGGTCCCTGGAAGGAATCAGAGGGTGGATGAGAAGACATTTCCACCCTCAGTCCCCAGATCTCAGCCCCAGGTCCCTCCAAGACATCTCTCATCTGTCAGACACATCTGTTCTTCTGTTTTCCCACCTGCTTGGGAGTTGGTCCCTAGTCCTCAGTGAGGAGAGGGACCTGGGGCCCCTGAGGAAAGACTCACCTACTCGCACTGGGGTCCTCAGGCCCACGCTCAGCCCTGCAAGAGAGTCCCCGTGAGGGATTTGCCCTGAATCCCGAGCAGAACCCTTCTCCTGGGAGCCTTCTGAGTGGTTGGTTTGCTTAGAAACCAGGGGTTTGCCTCCCCCTCTCCCTTCTCACCGAGACAGAGCAGGGCCGTGAGTGTTAGCATCATGAAGTCTTCTCCCTCTGGCCTTGGCTCGACAGCCGGAGGAGGCCAGGGTGCCAGCACAGGGCCAGACAGGCTCACGGGGCGTGGTCACTGGGAGGCTGGTCCTACCTGTCAGGGGGTTGTCATGTCAGCAGCCCACAGGTGAAGGAACAACCTCTCTCCCACAGTCTGAGTCTTATTTTTATATCAAAGCAGCAGTTAGACCTGGAGCCTCCTGAGATACCCATTGCAGGTGAGGGCACGTCCTTCCAGGTCAGAGCCTCCCCCGCGGGGCCCCCTCCCCTTCGGCCTGGCCATCAGCACCTCCCTGTGGGTCCTCCCCAAGAACCGTGGTCACCCAGGCCCTGGAGACGCTCAGGAAGACGGGGTCCCTGTGCCTGCAGAGCTCAGAGCAGCAGAGACACGGTCTCCTTCTCGCTGTGCCGTCCAGGTGCGTGTCGCTGTGACTATGAGCACAAAGGGGAAGTACAGGGAAATAGGGAAGGAAACACGTCAGTTTTACAGCCCCAGATTCTAGGCTTTCTTTTTGTTTCATGTTTTTCCACCACTTCTCTTTTTTCTTAGCAACAGCTACCACCCCTTCCTTTCTGGGAACAAACCTCTGAGTCATTTTTTTCTCTCACTGTCCCTTCTTCCATGGGCAGAGCAGATCCTCCTGATGCCATAGCTTTGGGCTAGACCTTTGACTTGCCGAGGAAAATTCATCTTTGTTGAAATATCTGCATCTCACCAACTTACCTGTGTGGACCAAGCAGGAACGTGGCGATCAGATATTGTCCTTCATTTTTTTTTTTTTTTTAAAGCAAGAGAGCACTTTTAGTTATTTACTTGCTTTTCGATAAGTTGAACTCTTTGGGACATGCAGCATTCCAAGGATTTTCTGTCCAACAGTCTTAGCAGGAAGATTGTTTTGGAATTTGGCGCAAGTTGTGCCGCATTTCCATGCACATGGGGCACCTTTCCCCAGGGGACTCTGGTTTTGTTCAGGTCGCCACCAGCAGCCACTGCGTTGGTCTTTGCTTTGGACTCATCACGAGCGCATCTCTTGCTCAGATAGAATTCTGTTTCAACTCCAGAAATATGCCTTCAGTTTTCAGAAGAGCTGTATGCTCTCTCTGTTGCTGGAGACACCCAACTATCACCAGCCAACACGTCCCAGGACCCCAGAACATCTTCCTGACAAAGTGTCTTTTGAGATGCTCCACTCCCAGCTGGCCCCCAAAGTTCAGTGGCAGGAATGCCACTAATGTTCTGTCTCCCGTCCATTTTTAGAAGTTATTCTGCATCCAAGTCTATGTGGAAACCCTAAGTATGGTTTTCCTGCCTTGAAATACCCTTTTCAGATTTTCATGCCAGCCTATCTATGTGTGTTTGGTCTAAAAAAATATCTGTAAAACCCCTGTCCAATCTCCCATAATTGTTTGGAAGAACTCACTGCATATCTTGGTGGACCAGGAATTAATTCTGTGTGATGATTTTAATTTTCAGATGTAAATTTTTTATAGTTCAGTGATGATTCAGATTCTCTAGTAACTATTATTATTTTTTGGAGCAAGGGAAAGTTTATGCAACAAGAAGATGCCAACAGAGGAGATGGGAGACCTAATGGTACCTCAAATTCATCTTAAGAAAGTACAGAGTTCAGGCTTCTTCTATGCCAAGGAGAGGGGAAACAGGAGGGGCAGAAGGTGACTGATGACTGCAGACATCTGGGCGCCAACGGGGGTATGAAAAAGATTGTGCTAGTTGACGTGATACAATTTCTGTCAAGATACCAATGGCGTATTTCACATAAGTAGGACAAATGTTCCAAAAATTTATATGGAACCACAGGCAATGCCATATAGCCACAGTGATCTTAGGAAAGAAGAACAAAGTTGGAGGAATCACACTACCTGATATCAAACTATACTACAAAGCAATAGTAGTCAAAACAGCCTGATACTGGCATTAAAACAGACACATAGATCAATGGAACAGAATAGAGATCCCAGAAATAAACCCATGCATTTATGATCCATTAAAATTAGACAAAGGGTGCAAAAATATACAATGGTTTTGGAAAAATTGGACAGATACATGCAAAAAAGTGAAGCTAGACCACCTTCTTACACCATACACAAAAATAAATTCTACATGGATTAAAGAGTTAAATGCTAGACTCAAAAACATAAACATCCTAGAAGAAAACATAGACAGTAAAATCTCAGACATTTCTCAAAGCAGAAGAAACAAACAAAAAAATAAACAAATGGGACTACATCAATCTATTTATTCTTAGAAACTAAATATTGGATATGAATCCACTTTACCTAAATTGGATAAAGCTTTTCATAAAGTGCACTTATATTTATTGTGAAAAGATTTCATTCTAAAATAGAGCTGGAGGATATAAAACAGGGAATCTTACATATGGGTTCTCAGGTAAACTAAATTTAAAGACTGAAGGAGTGATTTCCCATAGATTTCTGATTTACGGGAAACTGAAACAACCCTCAACCAATGAACCTCCACCAAGAGCTTCTCCCCATCCTCAAGACAATGAAATTGCTGCTTGAAGTGAATTGTCCCACCCCTTCCTTGTGTTTCTTGCCCATTAATATAGCCTGCCCCAAATCCTCAGTGAACTCACCTGTAGCATGCTACAGTCTGCATGTCTCAAATTGCAGTTCTTCTGCTATTCCCAAATAAACTCAATTTTTGGTCATTGGAGCTTGCCTCAGTTTACCTCTTGTATTTAAGTTGACACTAGAAAATTCAGTGGGATCTGTAGTGATGTCTCATTTCATAACTGATATGGGTTCTAGGTACCATATCTCTCTTTTTTTTTTTTTTTTTTGTCCAGCGCTGCTGGATTTTATACATTTTAAGAATATTCAAGAATAAACTTTTTTGGCTTTATTAATGCTATGGACTGAATGCTTGCAATCCTGCAAATTCATATGAGGGAGCCCTAACCCCCAGTGTGGCTGTAATTTGGAAGTGGAGCCTCTAAGAAGTAGGTTAAATAAGGTATAAGGCTGGGGTTCTGATTCCATAAGATCAGCATCCTTGTAAGAGAAACCAGATAGCTCATTCTTGCTCCCTTTGTTCTCACGCCAAGGAAAGGCCATGAAAGCACACAGGAAGACGTGCCATCTGCAAGCCCAGAGAGAGACCCTACTCTTTGATCTGGAGCTTCCATTCTCCAGGGCTGTAAACAAATAAATGTGTGTTGCGTAAACCCCTTGGTCTATGATATTTTGTTATAGAAGCCTGAGCAGAATAATATAAAAGTTAGTATTAAGACCTGGAAGCAGCTTTGGAACTGGTAGTGGGACGAATGGACACTAGAAAAGTTTTAGGTGCTGTGAATGGACTGCTGGTGGGTATATGGACGTTAATGGTGATTCTAGTGGAGGCTCAGAAAGGAAAGAGGAGATGTGGAGAAAAAGCCTCCACCTTCTCAGAGAGTATATGATGAAGAAAACAGAGTGTTGGTACAATAGAAATATGGGTGGTAGTATCCATTTCAGTGAGTCTTCAGACAAAATGACAAATATGGTAGTAGACAATGGAGAAAGGCGATTTTCATTATACGGTGGCAAAGAACTTGGCTCAATTGTCTTCTAATGTTTCTAGAAGATGGAACTTGGGAAGCATCAAGTGGCATATTCCTAAGCAAAATGCTGACATGTAGCCCAGTTCCTCCTGAATGCCGGTAGTAGCATTTGTGAGGAGAGAGGTGAACTGAAGAATGAACTGTTCAGCAAATGGGCCCAGAAGTTAATGAGCTGGAAAATTCTTGGCTGCTCACGTTGCTACAAACGACAGTGGGTGTGGGAGAGAAGAGCACAGGTGGGGATGGGCTGTCAGTCAGGGAAGAGATGATGGGATTGTTGGAGCAGAAACACCATTCAGACAAGACAGGCTGGGATGATGCAGTTACCTGTCTGCAAACATGTGCTATTATTCTTCAAGGAAAAGAAAGAATGACCCCAAAGACAATTCAGAGATTATCAGGGCTTCCCCATGGACCTCAAAGTTAGAATCCCTTCCTTGGATTCAGCAGATGGTCTCCCCTCCGACCCTTGGGAGTGGGGTCCTCACAGGGAGATGAAGGTGCTAGGCCACCCAGCTGAGCCATGGAGGTAACACTGCCATCCCAGAGCACCTGGAGGGCAGGACATCGAATCTAAGCATGATGCCATACACCTGATACTAATGGAAAATACTATTGGAGGTCAACTGTAATTGAAAAATAACATCAAAAAAAGAAATTGAACCCAAAAGACAGGAGAACAAGATTTCATGAAAGTTGCCTTGCTGGATGTTGAATGTGCTTGGAACCCCTGTCCTTCCGATTTTTCCCTGTTGGGATAGGAATATCTCCCCTTTACCTGCTCAGCATTGCATGTTGGAAGCACCCAACTTGTCTGGGTCACAGGTCCACGACTGCAGAGGAATCCCGCCTTAAAATGAGTCCTATCCCAAGTCTCACCCATGTCTGACATAGACAATACGTAGATGAGACTTTGAACTTTAGACTTGAACGTTGATGCTGGAATGAGTGGAAATTTGGGGCACTGTAGAATGAAAAGAAATGCATTTTGCATGAGAAAAGAAGACGAATTCGGGGAGCTCAGAGAGGGGATGTTGTAGACTGAATACGTATGTACCCGGCCCTCTCAAAATTCATAGTGAAGCCCTTAACCCCCCAAGTGGCTGTATTTGGAGTTGGGGCCTGAGGAATTAATTAAGGTTAAATGAGGTCATAAGGTTGAGGCACTGACCAGATAGGTTAGAGTCCTCAAAAGAAGAGACACTGGGGGGCTTTCCCCCTCACTGACACACACAGGAAAGGCCGTTTACATAGGAGCAAGAGGGCAGCCACCCATGACCCAAGGAGACAGGCTTAGTGGACACCAACCCTGCTGGCAGCTTGGTCTCAGGCATCCAGCCTCCAGAACGATGGAAGAATAGATTTCAGGGGGTTAAACTGCCTAGCCTGTAATCCTTTGGTATGGCAGCTGAGCAGACGAACACAATTCATTTTTCTCTTTTTTATTCTTTCCATGTAAATACACGTCCTTATCACTTTTTTGCTCCTCACTCAAGGACACATTGATTTTAGAGAGAGGGGAAGGGAAGAAGTTAGAGAAGGGGAGAGACACATTGATGTGAAAGAGAAACATCGAACGGTTGTCTCTAGTATGCGCCTGGACTGAGGACCAAATCCACAACCTAGGTATGTGCCCTGCCTGGGAATTGAACCAGCAGCCTTTTGATTTACAGAATAATGTTCCAACCAACTGAGCCACACCAGGCAGGGCCATGTTTTTATCATTTTTTATATCCTTTCATCCACTGTCGTGGGATGAATTTCTTATTCTTTATCTAACTTCTTTAGATGCTCACTTAGGTCGCCGAGTTCTTTCTATACTAATTTCATTTAGGCACTTAATTTTTCCCTTTGATCTTGATGTTTAACATTTGCATGACCATGCAAGTAAGAATATGTGTTGATGTATATGATTAACATTTATCTTTTAAGAGAAAAAATTTCTATCTTCTTTTCAATTTCCTTCTCCCAGTCACTGGTTATGTAGAAGTGTGCTGCTCTTTTTCTAAAAATACGGAGTTCATATTTATCTTCTTCTGCAGAACCAGGTGACTTGTAAGTTCTTGTGATATCTTGCTTGCTTACAGAACATCCTCAGACTTGGGTCAGTAGCTGAACGTCCTTGGGGGCAGCTCCTGTGCCTTCTGGGGTCCCTGCAGCCCCCCTCCTTGGACTGTGGGGTCTGGGTCCTTCCTGGGCTAGTGGACAGCCAGAGCAGCGTACACACTCGGCTCATCTGGGGGCTCCTCTGATGGGGAAGAACGGGGTGCTCTTGTCGCTCGGTTGAGGGTCAAGCGGTTCAGCTGGGCATAGGTCACATCCTGGGGGTATTCAGATGGAGCATCCTGGAGAGGGTAGAGTGAGAAACAGGTGTATGATTGGGCTGGGAGAAGCCAGGGCACCAGGAACAGAAAAGACCCATGTCACTGCCCTCCCCTCCCACTTATCTGTCCTTTGTGTCCAGCAACTCCTCTGACAGGGCAGAAGGCAGGTTGGCCCCCCTCTGCCTGAGCCTTGAGTGGTTCACCTGGGCATGCGTCACTTGCTGGGGGTTTACAGAGTCAGGGCTCTGCTGGGGGGAGGGGGTGGAGACAGGAGGGGGTGGAACTTCTCTCCTTGCTCCACTTGTCCCTCTTCTAATAAGTTTCCACCTAGATACCAGAGAGTTGATTTTGAAATGGAAAGGATATTATATATATGCCTTGTCCAGATACATTTTCATTCATGTTCGTAACACCCAGTCTATGACAGAGCCTTGCAAATAGATATTCCTAGTAAGTGTTTGGCTGACTCACTGAATAAAGGAGTAAACTAATGAGGGGGAAACTAGGCATTTTGGAGGACCTTCATTTAGGCTTTTATTCATCCAGTTTGGTAGATAGATTCATCTATCATGAACATAGAGTGGGTCCAGCTATATCTGGGATTCAATACATTTTGCAACATAAAATACAGAGAATATACACCTGTGTGTGTGTATATATATATATTCTCTATATATGAATACTATATATATATATAGTATTCATATATAGAGAATATATACTCTATATATACTCTCTAAATGCTATGTAGTGTACACATCTGTTTATCTATCTATCTATAGACAGACAGCTACAGACATATAGAGACAGAAACAGAGAAAGAGACAAAGACACAGAGACAGAGAAACACAGAGCAAGACATCGGGAAAGTGACAGAGAAAGGGCACTTGCAGGGGGCCAAGAAGAAGACAGATAGGGGCCTGCCCTCAGGGAGTTCAGGGTTGGGGGTTGGGAACAGACCATAAACAAGGGATAAGGTCATGTGGGAGGATGATGGGCATTAGGGAGAAACAAAATGGTGAAGCACTAGGGAGGGAGGGGAGGCCTGTAAAGGAGCTGCTTTAGTTACCACAGAGGTCCTCCACCCAGAAGAATGGACATATTTCATAGGACGAGTGTTTTCAAGGCTTTTCCATGTACTTGAGGATGTTTGGCAGCATTCCTGGTCACTAGGTGCCATTGGCGTCTCCCTCCGAGCTATGACAAACAAAATGTCTCCAGATGTTGGTGTGAGAAACACTTCTGGATTTGAGGTGGAGAAGTATGAACATTGAAGGAGAAACAACTCTTTGGGGAAGATTTAAGACTTGTTTGTGTGATGTTAAAATGCCTGCTGGATGGACAATAGAGATGGCTCTATTGTCTTTGTTTGAGGTTGGGACTCAGGCAAGAGGTCAGAGATGGAAATAATTGTGGATTCATGAACATAGAGAGGGTCCAGCAATATCTGGGATTCAGTAAACTTTGCAATATAAAGTACAGAGTTGTCTCAAGGTGAGGTCAACAAGACAGCCAGCGGACTTCCTGTGGGAGTATGAGACTGATGCATCTAAATCCACAAGGCTGGAAGGAAGGGAGAAAACAGAGATAAAGGAAGGCTAGTCTATGGAGGGCTTTGTGGGAACAAGAGAAGGCATGCTGGGCCCTGGTCAGTGTGACTCAGTTGATTGGAGTGTTGTCCTATAGACAGAAGGGTTTGGGTTTGATCCTCAGTTGGGGTACATGGGAGAAGACAACCAACTGATGTCTCTCGCTCTCTCTCCCTCTCCCCCCTCCCCCCTTCCTCCCTCCCTCCCTTCCCTTCTTTCTGAAGTCAATGAAAATATGTTCTCAGGTAAGAATTTAAAAAAAGGCATGCCAGCCAGATACCACCAGTAGGGTCTCAAACCCTACAAGCCTTATTGTGTAGAGACTGTACAACTATCTAGGGAAGCACTACCATCCTGAGATATGGATAACCAAGAATCAAAGAGACCCAAGTAGGAGAAGCAAGAAGAAGGGGCCCACATGGTCCCAGAAAAACCACTGAGAAGTGGTGTTCCAGCAGCCTGCCCCTATTGCTTTCAGGAGGAGGGCAATGTCAGAAGATGCTGAGAGAGCTGAGTGATAACAGGAGGGAGAAGCATCCTAGGAATTTATCTCATTAACAAGTCTATGGTGGGTGCCCTGGGCAGGGCAGGGGTCTTACCTCACTGTCCATCCCTTTGTCCTCTTCAGATTGGGTATCTCTTATGGAAGCACCTAGAGAAGGAGAAGATTCTTTCTCATGGCAAGATCCCTAGAATCTCTTGATCCCACACACCCCTCCTGATCTTAGGTGGGGAGGCTGAGGTTCATCGAGGAGCAGGGATGTGCCTAGGACCACACAGATTTGGGATTTTCATGCTTGCTCACCCCTAAGGCCAGAACCCTTCCCAACTACTCTTCTTGCTGCTGTTTCCCACAAACACCTCACCTCCTCTCTGACTGCACTGGTTCTCCACCTGAACATGAGCTGTGGAGCTGGAGCTGAGCAAGAAGAACAGGAGGGTTAGGCAGTGGTGAAGGAGCTACAAGTGGAGGAGAGGTCTAGGGAGGTTTGGGGGAAGAAATTACCTTTTCTGTAGTGCTCTGGTCTTAATTTCAGGGTCTGAAGCACCTGCACAGAGTTAGGAATTAGTTTCTAAACTATCCCAGAATCCATCCCTGGGGCTGCATTGAGATCTCAGCAGCCGTGATCCCCACAATCCCCACCCCAGTCCACTGGGAATTCAACATAAACAAAATTAAATGGTAGCACCCAAAACTTGTATGGTTGATCTAAGTAAGTTGTTATGAACCTGAAAGAACATTTTCAAAAGTCTGTCTGTTCTTATGAAATCCCTCATTCTCATAGAGGATGGTATTTAGAAGCCAAGATCTGGATGATAGGTGTGCTTATATCTAGTGGATTGTCACTGCGTCTAGGTCAGAACTGGTGCACACAGTACAAACACTTATACCTGTAACTATTTCTATGCCAATTGATGTGCGTACGCACGCACACACACTCACACGCACGAAGACTTTATGTATTTGTTTTTAGAGACAGGGGAAGAGAGGGAGAAAGAGAGGGAGAGAAAGACTAATCGGTTGCCCCTAGTGGGGACCTGGCAACCCAAGCATGTGCCCTGACTGGGAATTGACATGGCAATCCCTTGGTTTACAGGACAATGGCCAACCCACTGAGCCACACCAGTCTGGGCTATATATTTATTTTTAATGAGGTCATTCTGTAACAGAGAATGAAAAGTGTATGATCTTTATGCAGCATTGTACTAACCAGAATTAAATGTACTAACCAATAAACTAACAAATCTGTTGGAACAAAAAGAGGAACAAAATTTTTTTGCGTACAACCCTCTTTTAGACTCCATTTTACTCCATCACAGGAACCCTGCCCAGAAAGGAGCTGGTAGACCACAGAAATTTGGCTGATACTGAAATGTTGACACCAAGATCTTTGTTGGAACCAACAACCACACTGCCTATGCATTCCCACTGCCCTTCCCTCTCCTTAGAAAAGCCACGGACTTGACCAGAGATGTTAAGCTTTTTTGTTGTTGTTGTTGTTGTTGTTTTGTTTGTTTTTTTGTTTTAAGGACAGGAGTCGGCCATCTTTTTGGATCGCCAGCACCTGAGTAAACCTCTTTCTTTTTCACCAGCACCTGTCTCACAAGTATTTGCTTTCATTGCAGCAGGCAGCCGAACCTGGGTTTGGAAACAACACTGACGTTTTCTTTTTCTTTTTTTAAGTTGCTTTTTATAGAGAGAGGAAGTGAGGCGGGGAGAGATCAGTTGGCTGCCTCCTTGTGTGCTCCCCAAGAGGGGATCAAACATGCAACCTGGGTATGTGCACTGATGGGGAATCAAACCCTCGACCTTTCAGTCTATGGGATGACGCTCCAACCAACTGAGCCACACCAGCCAGGGCAACAATACTGACATTTTCGATTCTAATGGAACACCTCAACTTGTCCCAGCTAACTGCCTTTGCACATTTTTCAATCCTTCATGGGCATTTAACCCTGTGTATTTACATATTTTCAGAAAACAATGGATCTCCTAACCACTCCAACTTCCACCCCCATTCCTCATCACCATGTCCACGCTCCACCGCTCTTGCCTGCAGCATGACAATGGCACCTCCTTGTGGCTCCCCGCCCCCTCACCAGCATGGTCCCTCAGCGTCTGGGTACCCCCTGCTACCTCCCCACAGGACCCCTCTCCTGACAACTGTACTTCCATGGGAATCTCAGATCCCTGCCCCCAGAGGATTATCAATGGAAGTTGGGATATAAAGAGCTTTCTAGGAATCTTTGATTGTTTAATTAGGAAAATTTTCAAAGCTGAATATTATGGGGGGGGGGTGTTTTCGGAGCCATATTTTTGCTGGTGCCCTAGGAAGTCACTTCCTAGGTCTTTAGAGGAAGGTCACACCTCTCATGCAGGCCAGGTAGACCAGGTCTCCCCATCTACTCACCTGACTTTCTGTGTTTCTTTTGGTGCTTGAGGAGGAAGAGGAGGAAAAAGAGCAGCAGGATGAAGGTCACAGAGATTCCAATCAAAACTACCTGGTATGTTTGAAGACCTTGAACACAAGGATGTCATCGATGAGCTGATGATACCACTTAAATGTGTGCTGGGCACACTTGGGGGTCTGTGAATTAATTGCCTCTAACCCTCATAACGACCAAGCCATAAGTGAACGCCAGTCTCCCATCCACTCATTTCACAAATGAGGAAACTGAAGCTCAGAGAGATCCATCGGGTGTCCCAGGTCACCTAGTCGTGAACGGGCAGAGCTGGAATTTCAGCCCGGGACCGCGGGATCTCTTGTGCTCCACTCATGGTGCCACCAGACAGGCACCACTTTGGGCTCTGCGGGCTGGTCCCCTGATTGGAACGGCCTGTCCCCTGGCTCCTGTGTGCCCCAGCCCTCTCCTTTACTTAGCACTGAAAGTGCCTTCCCCCTGTAACCCCCACTCACAACCCATTGGAGGCTGTGGGGGACCTAAATGGGACCCCGCAGAGCCAGGGTCTGTGTGGAATGACCTCTGTGACCTTCCCCATCCCGACATCCAGCTAAGACCTGTTCGCTGTCCTGCAGACCCCACACTCTCACATGGGGCCTCCTTGAACGTTTCTGAGTGTGTATCTGGGAGGGGACGTGAGGGTGGAGCTGGCATTGCCTGAGCACCCGTCCCATGCTGAGGGCGCCCCTAACTATCTTAGCAAAACTGTGAGGGGGGACTCAGAGAAGGAATGTGGCTCATCCCAAGTCCCATAACCAGGAAGCAGCATCTACAGGTGTTGATGTCCCATAGAGCCTGGCTTCCAAGTCCTTGCGGATTTCTGTTTGATTTTGATGTTTTTCCTTCAGTAAGAATGGGCTGAGCACCACAGGCTGATTGGAAAGCACTCAGGATGCCACCCGGGCCATAGGCCTGTTGGTCCCTAACACCCCAAACACCCAACACTGCCTGCCCTTCACTTCTTCAGACCAGCGTGGTGCCTGCAGGGTCAGAAGTGAGGTGTCTTTTGAGGTCTGAGCCAGGACTCTCCTCTATGGCAGGGGGAGAAACTGAGGCTTAGATGGAAAGGGACGTGTCCAAAATCACCACCTTGGGGAGCACTGAGACGCCCGCCCCCTACACTGGGTACCGCTGTACGTCATCAACCACGGATGGAGAGTTAGGAGCTGGGTCCTGCCTTCTCCCCTTTTAAACTCGGCTGTTCCTCCCCTAAGCTGGGCCCCCACATCTTCCTGTGCCCTGACAGCCCCGCCAATCATGTCCCAGACTCAGAGCCCCTGGTGTCCTGTGGTTACCCCCAGCATCTCTGCTTGACTCCCAGTCCCCAGAAGACAAGCCCATCTCTGAGGATCTGAGGGGGCATAAGTTTCTCTGAGAGACTCATGGTCGCCCTGGCCTGGTCCGTGCTCCCTGTGAGCCATGAGGCCCCAGTGACTCACCAGGTGTTGAGGTGAGCCCCGTGGGTGGGGGGCTGGGGCTCCCAGAGGGTCCTGGGGAAGGGACAAAAGGATGGTGAGAGTCTGGAACTCCCCACAGAGGCCCAGTATTTGCTCACACTCTTCTCCTTCCCTGTGGGCATCTCCCCACACACCTGGAGAATTCTAGTGACAGGCATGTAGAATGGGCAGGCCCCTGCTGTTCTCCATCAGTCTGCGGGGAAGACCCTTGTCCCCTCACTTCCATCCCGGACTGGGGTTCTCCTGATCATAGGAACACAAAGAAAATGGGTTTTGGCTTCTTACCTGAGATCAGGAGCTCCAGGGAATCACTGGGCAGTGACCACACTTGGGGTCTGTTCCTGTAATATCCATAGCATCTGAACCTCCACCTGTGGCTGCGGGTCACAGGGCCCACAGGGAACCAGGCCTGGAACTGCCCACTGGGGTGTCGCTGTGAGTCCAGGGCCCAGAAGAACCTGCGTTCTCCTTCCTTCATCAGAATGAACCTGCCAAATCCCTGCCCTGAGCCACACTGGAGGGTCACGTTCCCTCCTGAGGTCACGACAGGGCTGGGCAGGGCTGAGAGGCTGGGTTCACTGTTGTAGGCTCCTAGGAGAGAAGGAGGCAGTGAGGTAGATGGGGCTCACACCTCCTTCATGTCCCCCAGGGCTGGGCTGTGAGAGGGACACCCTGAGAGCATCCCCCTCCCTGAGGGCAGAGCCTGAGGCTGGGACCCCTGAGTGTCCTCTCACCTGTCACCACCAGCTCCAGGGGGTCACTGCGCTCTGACCAGTCAGGGGGGCTGTGATGGTAACAGCGATATAACCCTGCAGTGCGCTCTGTCATCTGTGTGATGGAGAACTTGGCCTTGTCCCTGGGACCCAGTGGCTTCTGTGTGGCCCAAAGCAATGAGGTTCCCTCTTTATCCAGTCGGAACTCCTGGGCCTGCCGAGTCCCCTGACACCAGATGGTCACAGGGCTCCCCCAGGGGATCACAGGGCCTGGCTCCGCCCAGATGGTGGGTTTGGGGAGGGTCCCTGGAAGGAATCAGAGGCTGAGACACAAGACATGTCCCCAGTGCCCAGCTCTCAGCCTCCAGCATCCCAGATGTCCGTCATCTGCCAGCCCAGAGCTGCTGTTCTTCATCCCCAACTTCCCAGGGGATGGCTCCTTGTCCCCAGTGGGGAATGACACCTGGGACCCCTGGGAACAGACTCACCTGCCTGCACTGGGGTCCTCAGGCCCACGCTCAGCCCTGCAAGAGAGTCCCTGTGAGGGATTTGCCCTGAGTCCTGAGCAGAGCCCCCCTCCCCGGGAGCCCCCTGAGCCCTGGGTCCTGACAGAGCAGGGCTCCCCCTCCCCCCAACACTCACCGAGGCAGAGCAGGGCCATGAGTGTGGGGGGCATGGTCTCCTCTCTGAACCCAGCTGTGCAAGAGGAAGAGACCACGGAGTCTTCGGGGTGGACAGACACACTGGGTGTGGCCACTGGGAGGCTGGATGTCCCTGTCATGTGGTTGTCACACCAGCAAACCCACAAAAAGAGGAACAGTGCCTTCCCAGCAGCTTGTTTGTTTCCAGGATCAAGCAGCAAACTGACTTGGAGCCTCTTGAGACGCTCTTGCAGGTGAGGTGACCCAGGCACGTCCTTCCAGGTCAGAGCCTCCCCCGCGGGGTCCCCTCCTCCTCCACCCGGCCATCGGCACCTCCTTGTGGGTTCTCCCCCTGGACAGTGGTCACCCAGGTCCTGGAGATGCTCAGGGAGATGGGGGTCCCTGTGCCTGCAGAGCTCAGAGCAGCAAAGACATGGTCTCCTTCTCACTGTGCCGTCCCGGCGTGTGTCGCTGTGACCATGAGCACAAAGGACACATACAGGGGAGTGGGGGAAGGACACATGCCCCTCCCCCTGGCCCAGAGTGTGGCTTTCTTCCTATCACAGCCCAGTTCATGAACTTTCTTCTCTCTCTCTCTCTCTCTCTCTCTCTCTCTCTTTGAACACCATCCACCATACCTTCCAGGAAACAAGGCTCTGAGTCACTTTGTTCTTCGGTGCCCCTTGCTCCTCAAGCAGAGCCCTCTTCCTCTTTCTGTGATCTTGCACGTAAGCTTTAGGGGGCTTCTATTGGGGTTAGAGGTTATTTTTTTAATTTTTAATTTATTGATTGATTTGAGTGCGGGTGGTGGAGGAGAGAGAGAGAGAAATTTGTTGTTCCGTTTATTGATACATTCATTGGTTGCTTCTTGTATGCACCCTGGCTGGGCATCACCACAGCCTTGGCGCATTGGGATGCTGCTCTAACTAAATGAGCTACCTGGCCCGGGCATTAGAGGTTCATTTTTAAAGAAAAAGGTGACCGTTATGAAAATATTCACCTCTCATCTGCCGCTTGTGTGACCCAAACAATAACATCTTGTCTGTGTCCTTGTTGGGATCATGTTGTCACCAACTCCTCTCCCCAGCATGGCCGCCAGTGCCCCAGTTCCTGGTTCCAGAGAGGAATTCAGTCCCAGTTAACCTTCACCCCAGGTGCCGACAGGAGAAGCTCATGGTGTCGGGCTCCACAGCGAAGATAAACGTGCGCTGCCTCCACTCCAGAACCCTGTGGGCTTCAGTTACCTTAAGCGCTGCACACAGCATTTCTCAAATATGAAAAAATAGTCATTTTCAGGAAAAGAGAAGCAGAAATTCCCCAGAGAGTCAGAAAATCGCAAGAAAGAAGAGAGAACAAAGGTGAGCAGCAGCCAGTGCCTGGGGCCGTCAAAGGGTTGTAGAACGGAGGTTTCCCCTTCTGCAGACATAGGGAGGGACCCCACGTTCTCACAGGAAGAGGGTGGTCAGAGCTTCAGGCAAAGGTTGGAAGCTGTGGTCCCCTACTTTCTGTGTGTGGGTAGGCATTGGGCTAGCTCTGCTCACTGACACACCCCATTGTTAGCACTGAGTGTGTGGGAAACAGGCTTTTTGCAGCTTTTTTGGTGACATGAGTGTGTGTCCCACGTGTGAGTGTGAGGTCAGCTTTACCCATCCCTGCCTAAGACAATGCTGAGCAGGTGCTGAACCTGAGGGAGTGGACAGCATGGGGCAGGGGCAGCGGCCACAGGCCCTGGTCAGCCTGAGTCCCAGGACAGCCCTGGGGAACCTGTGGAAGGCCACGTATGTGTGGGGAGAGACCTCCTACAAGTACGGACAGTAGAGAGACCCTAACAATGACAGAGTGCTGTGGGAGGCCATGTACTAATACCGGAGGCTGTCAAGCCCAATGAAAGAGAATCAGTAGGAAATATGAGAGCAAATTTAAATTAAGCCTGTTTACATATCTGTAAAAAAAAGGGGGGCTATTAAATTTTTCAGGCAAGAGGATGGATTATAATTGCAGAAGAGTAAGAAGTTATTGAGAATATTTAGAAATTTTAGAGATGAACAATGCAATAGAATGGACACATTCAAAAAAACGTATCCCATCAAGGGCTAAACACAGCTGAAAAACACTTACGAAAGCCGAGTGCCATGTTGAGGAAATTTCCAGAATGCAGTGCAGAGAGACCGGAAGTGGAGATTCAAAACACTTGGGGACCAGAATGAGAAGGATAAATGTCACATCTACTGTAAGTTAGAAGGAAAAAAGTGAAAATGACATCTAATAACAATTCAAGAGATAAATCATTGAACCCTTGACAGACATGAGGAAAGACTGACTAAGTGTTAGGGTGTATATATTTAAAAATAAAATCTGCATCTTGACCCTTCTGGTAGACGAAGAAAATCAAGGGGCGTTTGAGAGGGTGGGGAGAACTTTTTCAATGCACACCCTCTCCCCAGGTGACACCAAATTGAAAGGGAGAGGGGAGAGTGAGTGCGTGGCATCCGCAGCCGTGGGATTCTGCACCTACAGAAAACCCGGCGGCAGGGTGGGGGGTTGCAAACCATATATTGGACACACGGTTACTATCCAAAATATGTAAAGAATTCATACAACTCAATAGTAAAAAACAGTATGATTACAAATGGGCAGAGGAACTAAATATTTTTCCAGAGAAGACTTACAAAGGGCCAACAGGCACAGGAAATGATGCTCAACATCATTAATCATCAAGGAAGTGCAGATCAAAACCACAATGCGCTATCACCTCACATCTATTGGAGGTAAGTAGTATTGGTAAGAATGCGGAGCTAAGGCAAGGCTTGCGTACTGTTAAAGGGAATGTAAATTGATGCAGCCACCATGGAAAGGAGTACGGAGGTTCCTTACAAAGTTAAAAATATAGAGCAATCGTAGGATTCAGCAATTTTACTTCTGGGTATGTAGCCAAAGGAAATGAAAACAGGATACCCAAGAGATATCTCTACTACCATGTTTACTGTAGCATTATTCACAATCGCTAAGCTATGGAACCAACCGAGGTGCCTATCAACGGATGAAGTTACCCATACAGATAGGTATACAATGGAATATTATTCTATCATGAGGAAGAAGGGAATTCTGTCATTTGCAACACCAAGGGCTGGGCCTTGAGGACATTACGCTAAATCAGATCAGTCAGGTCCAGAACGACAAATATTGTCTGATAGCCCTAATACGTGGAATCCAAGAGTTGAACTTATAAAAACATAGATTTGAGTGGTGGTTACCAGGGGCTGGGGGTGAGGAATAGGACAGAGGTGGTTTAAGGAGGCAAACATAACAACAAATAGGTAAGCCCTAGAGATCTAACACACAGATGACAACATTGTATTCTAACCACCAGAATCGCTCAGAGACAAGAACTTCATTCCAACTGCTAAAAAGAAAAGATAATTATGTGACATGATAGAGGTGCTAATGACCGCTACCAGGGAATCATATTACAGTACATAAATGTATCCGATTAACATGTGGTACGCCTTAAATTTAGACAATGGTGTATGTCTAATATATTTCAATTTAAAAACAAAGAGAGGACATTATTTAAGGGTATACATGGGAACGAAGGAGGCATAACCATGACAGAGAGAATTGAATGAACCCCCGTGCCCTTACTTCCGGGATGTGGTACGTGGGAGGCTGGCTGACGGCCGCACAGAGACCCCACGTCCTAATCTCCGGAGCCCACGAACGGTTTGCTTACGGGGCAAACAGAGGGGCAGCGTGATAGATAAGGGCCCAGAGGTAAGGAAGTTACCGCGCATTCTCCAGGGAGCCCTAATGTAGTCACAGGGTCCTTGAACGTGGACGGGGAAGGCAGGACGGTGAAGGTCAGAGACAGGGATGTGATGATGGGAACGGGGTTCGGGAGATGCACGTGAGGAGGACTTGACCCGCCTCTGCTGGCGTGGAAGGCGGAGGAGGAGCCCTGAGCGGAGGAAGGCGGTGACCGGCGGACGCTGGCAGAGGCGAGGCAGGACCTCCCCCTCCAGACTCCGGAGGACACAGCTCTGCAGACCTAGTTGTTTTGGCCCAGAGGGACCTGGGCCAACGAGCAGTTACAGACCTAGAGGATCATGAATGTGGCTGTGTTGAGCATGAAATATGTGGGAACTTGTTTCAGGAGCAATGAAAAATGGGAAGAAGGGCAAGATGCAGGACAACATACATCCTGTGCTAATTGTTCTTAAGCAAGTTGGTAAAATAAAACTGTGTGTCTGTTTACCTGTTTTTCACGTATTATTTTTTCATTATGAAAACCAGAAACTAACAAAAATAGTTGCCTCCGATATGTGGGAGGACAGGGTGAAGGGCATAGAATCAAAGGGTCGTCTCCAAGCGTACCATTCTAGGCAGTTGTAACTTCTGAAACCTGAATGTATTCTACCTACTCAAGGCACAATGAAGTCACAAAATTTGACAAAAACACATTCTGACGGGAACATAGACACCTGAAAATAAATATGACCTCATATTCGATAACCACAACCACAGGGTAAAACACGAAAAGGAACTATATGAATTTTCCAGGAACTGGGTTTTTGTATGAGGAACACAGGTGCAACATAAATAAACCCTGTAATGTTACACCAGGTGAGAAATACCTGTGCGGACTGGCACTGTGCATCCTCCCTGATACTAAGTGGTCCATACAGAATGAAGCCCCTGAGGTCACATAAAACCAAGTCATGCTTTCTTAATATTGTTCCCAATAAAAGAACCCAAGGACTTGGGGGGCCCCGTCCAGAACAGGAGCACAGATAGGCCCAGGCGCCCCATCAGTCTAGAAAGCGCGATGGGGCACAGCTAAGGAGTGGGGATGTCTCAGAAAGCACAGCAGGAAGCTGAAGGGACCTTCTGTGGCCAAGTCTAGGGAGCTGAACAGCCTCCTTACAGGAAGGAGACCCCTGCTCGAGCAGGATGCAGGCACCTCGCAGGCAGCGCCTGCAGTAGGGGAGCCCCTTCCTCCCTGAGAGGGACTCAGATCGCGAGCAGAGAGGGGTGGGCCCTTCCCTGAAGAGGAGAAGCCCCAGTGAGAGCAAAGTGAGCCTCCCCTCACCGTCTGCTGTCTGTGCGGGGAACAGGGGAGCGGGGGAGTCTCCCTGCCCCGCCCTGTTCTGTGGGAGTTGGGGTGACTGGGACTTGTCCTGTCCTGCATCCCCCACCATGCTGGGACCCAGCGCTAGTGCAGCCAGCTACACAACAGCGTCTGAGGGTCAAGCCGCGTCCCCCAGACCCTGGGCACCACAGCGTGCCAGCTGGGCTTCCAACTCTGGAGGTCAAGGTTTGGGTGAAGTGTCAGGGGGTGAGGTCAGAGGCTTGTAAGGACACCTGTGCCCCATTTTCCAGAAGCTTGGGGGCGTCCTGACAGCACAGAGTGTCAGACGGCAGGCTCACGCGATTCCTCGTGCTGCTGTGACGAATCAGCACCCGCGTCCTGGCTCACAGCAACACAGATTTCTTATCTCACGGTCCTGGAGGTTGGAAGTCTGACACGAGTTGACCTTGTGGTGTCTGCAGGGCTGCACTCGCCCCTTGGGGCTCCAGCGAGAATCGTCCCTTGTCTTCCGGTGTCTAGAGACCCCGCAATCTGTGACATGCAGCCCCGTCAACCTCCCTTGTCTTCAAAGCCAGCCCTGCCGCTGGCATCACGGGGCCGCCGTGTCTGCCTCCTCCTCCACGTCTGAGGAGCCTGTGATGCCATTGGCTGCTGTGAGCCATGCTGTTGTGGAGACGTGTGTACATCGATGGAAGGTCCCGCTTTCATGTCCCTGCACGCGAACCCGGAGCGGGCCGCTGGCCGATGGCAATCCCCAGCTGAGTTCTGAGGAGCAGCTGCGCAGGTTCCCCCAGTGGCCGCGCCACTTCGCACCCCTACCAAGGGGCACAGGGGACCCCGGCCCTCCACAGCCTTCCAACACCTGCATTTTTTAGATTATTGTTTTATTCTTCAATTTTATTCTTCAATTACAGTCAACACACAGTGTATGATTTCAAGTGCACAACGTCGGGGTTAGGCAGCTCTATACCTTGCGCAGTGATCCCTCCATAAGCCTAGTGCCCGTCATTGAGAAGTAATTTTAGCGATAGTGGGCCTGAGGAGTGTGCGGTGGTACCTCACTGCGGTTTGGGCCGGAGTCTCTTCCCTGGGCTTTAGCTCCAAGTCAGCTGGGACCCGAGGGGACAGATCCAGGGAGCAGAGGCCATCCCAGGCACAGAGGTGGGTGCGCGGGGGCCCCGAGCAGGTGCGGCTCCCCAGCTGACAGGTGGGGGTGAGACCGAAGTCTAGAGCAGCACGTGCCCGGTCCCCAGAAAGCAGGTGAGAGAACGCGGGGTTCCCGGAGCAGGAAGAGGGCGGCTGCAGGGACCTGGGGCCCGTCTGAGAACCTGGAGGGAAGGGGGCCCAGGCAGGACGGGGCGGGGCCGTGAGCGGGGTGAGTGTCAGGCCTAGAGCCAACCCTGGAGACCCCAGAGGGACCACACAGGAGGCTGGCCCCCCCCCGCTCCCGCCCACTTCCCCAGACAGTGTCCCTGCACAGGGCGGCCTCCCAGGGCGCCGTGAAATTCCCAGAACGGGGGTGGCTCTGGGTCTCTGGGCTCCAGTGGGAGCCTTGGGCCCTGGGGGAGGTCCCTCCTGGGGGCTCTGGGGTCTAATCTGTCTGGCAGGAGCTCCCTTGTCTCCAACCCTATGGTCTGTGTGGCCACCTGCGCCGGCTGTGCCCAGCCTCTGCCAGAATCGCCACCAGGATCAGCAAGACCGCGCCAGCCAGGCCGATGCGGACACAGTTCTCCATCGTGTAATTCCAGGAGGCGGGGGCTGGAAGCAGAAGACAGGGGGTCAGTGACTAGTGGACAAGGCCCGGCCAAGCCCAGGCAGGACCTATGAGACAGGAGCCTCTTTGTTATTGGGCAGGACCGCCCCTCCCAGCACCCCCTGCGCAGGCCCCCAGATCCTCCTGGGAGCCCGATTCTGTGGGTGGGGCAGTGACTTCACGGGATTTTCCCGGGAATGAGGAAGGCTGGTGTTTGTCTCCTGCAGCCCCCCCCTTCTGACGTGATCTGCAGGCCGAGCCCTGCGGAGACCCCCCTTCCCTGGGAGCACCCAGCCCCTGCCCTCCCCACCTCGAGGCCCCTGGGCCTGCACCCCCAGGCTTCACCACCAGCCAACTACAGGACCCCAGTTCAGGGCACATGCAAAAGGCAGACTTGCTCAGGGGTCCAGGGCGAGTCTCCCCTCCTGGCTCTTACCCCCTCACCCCCAGGGTGAACAGGCCTCTTGCACTTGAAGATGCAAGATGTCACTGCCCGCTGAGTGTCTCCCACCACGAGAGAAGCGGGACCCCTCCCCACTGCCACCATGCTGCCCACTCCCCAGCAGAGCCCCGAGGAGGGCAGGCCCCAGGCGGAGGTCCCCACTCCCCCCTCAGGCGGGACTCCGGGTGGGGGGCTGAGGTCTCCAGGGGCCCCTGTGAAGGGGCAGCATGCATTTACTGAGCACCTACTGCATGCCATGCACATGCTGGGTGCTTGTCATGGTCACACCCACAGATGTAATCAGTCACAAGCCCAGCAGTCCTGCCACACGGGAACCATTACCCCCATTTTACAAAACCGGGGTCCTGAGCGCTCTTGTCCTCTGCACACAGGAGGATGACAGAGCTGGCATATGACCAAGACCGAAGCCCATTCTTGTCCCCTCCCCCAAGAGGCAGCTCCCGGTCCATGGTCCTCTGTCCCCATCACTCACTGCTCTTGTTACTGTCCTGGGAATTTGTCCGTGTGTCTCCCAGGAGCAAGGAATCAAGAGGACGTGTGTCAAAAGCAGAGCTGGGCAGAGGAGGCTCTGAGTCTCCCCGCCCCCCACCCAGAGTGGCCTCCTTCACTCTGGGACCCTCACCTGCTCCCTCCAGACCTGCTCTGCCCGTGGAACTTCCTGTGAGGTTGGAAATACCCTACATAAGTCCTGTCCCAATTGGTAACCAGTGATTACCTTATCCCTTGGTATTGAAGTTAATAAATGTAAGAGGCAGACCCTCAGCTGCACTAGCCGCATGTCAGGGGCTCGGTGGCCACACGCTAACGACGTGCTCACTGGATGGCGCAGGTATCCCGCGTCCCTTCCCGCAAGAGGCTGCCTGCACGGCGCTGCCTGCCTCCCGATGACACCGGCAGGAATGGGAGTGCTGACCTCCTTCTGGGTCCCCGCCGCGAAGGCAGGACGCCCCATCTCTAGTTTCCTGTTTCTCACAACAGCGCTGATGGGTTGGGCCGGCCTTTCTGGGAGGAATGAGGCCAAGCCCCTCGTCCTCGATGTCCTCCTCGTGTTGCCTGAAGCCCTGCAGTGAGCGGGCCAGTGGATGCAGCACCTGCCAGTGGCTGGGCTTGGCACATGCGCTGTAGGTCCACCACGTCCTTTACCATTTTCCTCCTCTGCGCATGCGCGCCACTGCCCACGTCACAGGAAGGCAGACTGCGGTGCAGGAGCTGGTCCCAGCACAGCGATTGCCTCTCACGTTTTCTCTTCTGGAACTGCACCCCTGCACCTGTTGGAGGCTGAGTCCTCGCTACCCTTTAAGAAAGTAAGAAACTTGACTTCCCAGAGTGTCCTTTGTTACGATCCCCGCAAGTATGAGCTCAGAAATTAGAGTTTGATCACACACTCTTTATTATTTGGCCAAGTTTTTTACCTGCGCAGGGGCCACCTTTCCCTCGAAAGGAAAAAGGCGCGCTGCTGTTAGATTACATGGATTTTTATAAGCAGAGCAAGCAAGCAGGATACAAGGGCAAGAGGTGGCGGTTAGCTATTGGCTGTTTGGTTTTTCTACATTGTTACTGGGGGTGTCACAATTCTTCCATCATCTTGGGGTATTGTTTGTTCTAGTGTGGGTCAACTTGTTCCCTTTAGTCTACCCATATCCGTATTGTTCTTGCCCTATGCCTCCTCCTTATTCTTGTCGACTCTGGCCCAGCTGCATGGGGGCTGCACTCTGATATGTCTTTCTTGGTATTTGTTCCTCCCTTATCCTCAGCTCTGACCCTGCTTTTACGGGCTGTTTATCTGAGTCAAGGCTCAGCCGTTGTCCTATCTTGTTACTAAGGGGGGCTCTAATTCTTCCCTTCATCTTGTTCTAGTTTCTTGTTTTCGGCCCAGGCTTGACCTAGTGTTAAAGTTTGGCCCCTTCATTCCCCCCTTTTTCTTGTTCATCCTTTGTCAAATCCTTGACTCAGTGTCTTCTCCTGCCTTCTAACCCTTTCTCCCCTTAATCCTCATCTCGTTCTTCGCCCGTTCCCCGCAACAGCCCCCCCAAGCCCTCCTTCTCCTCTTCTCCTCAAAGAATTCTGATAAATAAGCTCTAAGTGAAACTATCCTCTCGCCCCATGTTTGGTTCTTTGCGAGTACAGTTCCATCCTTTGTCCTTATCAATACCCATTCCCAGAGCTCATACCCGCTCGTTTCCCAACTTAGTCCAATCAATATTAAGAGCGGGTAAAAGAGAGTCGGAGGGGCTTTTCTGGGTCCTGTCGAACTCTCCATGGTTTTTCTCCACTGGGGTCCTGAGCTGGCTTGACGTGAGAGAGGTGTATCCAGTAGGGTTTCTCGGCCACCCGAACGGCGGTCGGGGTGCTTAGCAGTACCTGGAATGGCCCGATCCACCTGGGTTCAAGGCTTCCTCGCCGGTGGTTCAGGATCTATATCCACTGGCCGGGGTTCAGTGTCCTTACTTCGCCAGTGCCACCTCTTTCATTTGCCTCCTTCTCCTCCCTTCGTAGGCTCCGGACTTCTTCTCTGAGGGCCTGCAGTGCCTGTAAGGACTTTAGAAAGTTATGATTAGAGGCCTCTATCTCCTCTCTAGTCAGCTTGGGCACTAGTGGCACAGGCTGCCCGTACATGATTTCGTAAGGCGTCCAGCCTCCTGTGTATGGGGTACATCGAGCCCTAAATAAGGCGAAGGGGAGCAATTCTACCCAGTTCTCCCCGAGCTCCTCCTTTAATTTAATTAATGTTTCCTTCAAGGTCCGATTCATTCTCTCTACCTGCCCTGAGCTTTGGGGTCTATACACACAGTGCAATTTCCAGGTTATGCCCAATCTCCCGGCTAGGTTTTGGGATATTTGGGATACAAAGGCAGGCCCGTTATCTGATCCAATCGCCACGGGAATGCCATATCTGGGAATTATTTCTCGGACTAGGATTTTCCCTACCGTGGCTGCCGTTTCACCCTTTGTGGGGAAGGCCTCCACCCAGCCCGAGAAGGTGTCTACTAGAACTAAGAGGTATTTGTATCCCGATTTCCCTTTTGACATTTCAGTGAAGTCAACTTCCCAGATCTCTCCAGGGGTATTTCCCTTATGCCTGATAAATCGAGGGCATTTTTGATTCTGTGCGTTTACCCTGGCGCATGTCTGGCATCTGGACACTACGGACTCTACGATCTCCCTTTCTCTTTCCCTGAATGGCTTTTCCCTCCTTCCAATCACTATCACCTGCGCCTCCACTTCCTTCTCCCTACCTGCCTCTCACCTTTTACCTATATCCTTCCCCCTGCTTCTCCAGCTTCCTTTCCTTCGCCGCCTCTTTGGCCGCCAGATCAGCCAGGGCGTTACCCCTTGCCACGGGGTCACTTCCTCTCTGGTGCCCTCGGCAGTGAATGATGGCTACCTTCTTGGGCATCCACAGCGCATCCAGCAGTTCTAGGATTTCCTGGCGATTGATTTCCTTACCTCCAGCCGTCAGCAGCCCGCGCTCCCGGTAGATGGCCCCATGCACATGGGCTGTTGCAAAAGCATACCTGCTGTCCGTGTAAATGTTGACCGTCCTTCCTTCGGCCATCCGGAGGGCTTGGGTGAGCGCGACCAACTCTGCTCTCTGGGCCAATGTCCCCTTGGGCAGAGCTTGTTTCCATACCACCTCGTCCGCTGTTGTCACGGCTGCCCCAGCATACCTGAGTCCGTTGTTTACGAAGCTGCTGCCGTCTGTGTACCAGGTTAGGTCCGCGTTCTCGTATGCCAGGTCCCGCAGGTCAGGCCGCGTTCCGGCTACCGCTTCCAGGACATGGGGGCAGCAATGAGTCACTCCCGATTCGGGGACTGGTAGCATGGTGGCCGGGTTCAGGGCAGTCGTCTTAAGGAATCTGACAGCCAGGGGGTTCAGGAGCTGAGCCTGATATTGGGTCAGTCGTGCGTTGGTCAACCAACGACCAGGCGGTGCACGGAGTACTTGCTCGACATAGTGTTCCCCGACTACTTGGATGTCTTGCCCCAAGGTTAGCTTACTCACCTCCTTCACCAGGACTGAGGTAGCCGCTATGGCCCTCAGGCAGGCTGGCCATCCTGATGCCACCGGGTCTAGTTTCTTTGACAGGTAGGCCACCGGCCTCTTCCAAGGGCCCAGGGTCTGGCTCAACACTCCCAAGGCCATTCCTTGTTTTTCAGCCACATAGAGGAGGAACGGCTTGGCTGGGTTGGGCAAGGCCAATGCCAGGGCCGAGGCAAGGGCTTCCTTCAGGGCCTGAAATGCCTTCCGCCCTTCCTCAGTCTAGGCAAACTCAGTCTCTTTCCTCTTGGGGCATTCCCTCTTCCAGTGCCCCCTCTCCCTGCAGATGGCGCACTGGTCCTTCTCTAGCCTGGCTCCCCTCCTTTCTCTGTCTCCCGCTCCTTCCTCTTTCCCTCCTCCTTTCCTTTCTCATTCCCCTTCTCCACCTCCTTCCTTTTTTCCTTCCTTTCCTTTTTCCCGAATTTTCTCTCTCTCTGGTTCCTTTCCCCTATCTTTCTTCTTCACTTTTCACCTTCCTCTTTTTCACTAGAACCTTCCTTCTCTGATTCCCCTTCTTCGGCTTGGTCTGATTTGGCACCCTCATCTTCTGCAATTTCCTCCTTATGTCCGTGGCTGATTGCGTGACAAAGGCTATGTTTACGAGTCTCCTATTCTCCCTTGCCTCTGGGTCTAGTGGGGTATATACCCTGTATGTCTCCATCAATCTTTCCAGGAATGCGCCAGGGGTCTCGTCTCGTCCCTGCACTACCTCACTCACCTTTCCGAAATTTGTGGGCTTGCGGGCCGCTGCCCGCAATCCCCTCAGCAGAGCTCGGCGGTACTGTAGAAGTGCCTCCCTTCCCCCTCCTGTGTTTGGATCCCAATCGGGGGGAAGGAGGGGAGTATTTCCTCCAACTCCCTTCTTCCTCCCCCATAACCGCCTTCCCTGCTTCCCTCAGGATCCTTTCCCTTTCCTCAGACGTAAACAAGGTCTGCAATATCTGCTGGCAATCATCCCATGTGGGCTGGTGGGTCCGGAGATTAGCCTGGGAGGCGCCCTAGGGGCGTCCGGGGCCGTGGGCACCTCTCGGAGCGGTAGCAGGGCCGGCTCTCTAGAGTCCGGAGCGCGCCAGCCTTTCTGTCCCTCACCACTGTAAGAGGTCCCTCCCCAGATTGCTCGGAGGAATCGGGTGCCGCCAGGGCGGGATACGGTGGTGGGGCGTTAACAGGATCTAAGGGGTCCTCGGGCCGGCCTGGCAGGACTGGATACGGCCGGTTCCCTTCAGGTCCCGATGACGGCTGGGGCTCAGCACTCCCCCTTCTGCTATTTCCTTGGGGGCCTCCCCTCTCGCCCCATCCAACGGCTAAGCACACCGCTCTACCCCTCCTGTTTGTCCCTGCCTGCCCTTGGCTGCACTTCCGGACGTAGCCCGGTCTATCCGTGGCAATATCCGTCCAGACATTGATGTAGATTTGCTGGTCCGGATGAGGCACCACGTAGGTGACTCGTTGGACCGAGAAACAAATTGGCAATTGGAAAGTTCCCTCAGTCGGCCACCCAACATTAAAGGTGGGCCACTCAAGCTGGCAGAATGCTCGGAGGGCCTCCGGGTCGGGCGGATTCCCTCCATAGTGCTCCGCCCGCTTTCTGAAATCAGAGATTGTTTTTCAAGATGCAATCCAAAGGTGAACCCTCGACCGCTCCCGTGGATCCCCCTTGTCCCATGTCTTTACGTATGTGGGTCCAAAGATTGTGACTTATGAGACCGAGGAGGGTCAAGATTAAACAAGCGGCCAGGCTCCACACTACTCTCTCGCTTACGCCATTCACTCTTCGGCCGGCCTCACACACACACACACACATTTAGGAGACGACTCAGACAGACAGGAACGATTAAAGCACTTTCACTTTCGCCTGCCTGGCCTCTCCTCTCACGAGGGACTTGGGTCTGTCTTAGCTAAGGCTGCCCGAGTAGAATCCGGGTTACCTCCCAGCCGTTATGCCATATGACAGACCGAGGAACCGCAGGTTGGGGCCCACTCAGACTCCGTAGGCTCGCTGTCCCGTGGAGTCACACAGACAGGCGCTCGCTCACTCACACGGCACTTTCGCATGCGCTCCCGTACCCGTTTCTTCCCGCGCTGTGCACCAAAACCGACCTCAGGCGACCCTGTCGCGACTCCCGAGGGCGTCCCCTCCTTGGGAGCCCCCTGGGTGGACTGCCGGTGACGTCTCACCTACCACCTCAGGGCTGCAAAGGCTAGCCTTTCCTTCCCCTTAAGAGAATTCTCGGTTTAACTCACCCAACTCGAGCTGGTCCCTTTGATTCCCATCCTTTTACCCCACAAAAGGGGGACTCTCGCTGGGGCCTCCAAATGTTACGATCCCCGCAAGTATGAGCTCAGAAATTAGAGTTTGATCACACACTCTTTATTATTTGGCCAAGTTTTTTACCTGCGCAGGGGCCACCTTTCCCTCGAAAGGAAAAAGGCACGCTGCTGTTAGATTACATGGATTTTTATAAGCAGAGCAAGCAAGCAGGATACAAGGGCAAGAGGTGGCGGTTAGCTATTGGCTGTTTGGTTTTTCTACATTGTTACTGGGGGTGTCACAATTCTTCCATCATCTTGGGGTATTGTTTGTTCTAGTGTGGGTCAACTTGTTCCCTTTAGTCTGCCCATATCCGTATTGTTCTTGCCCTATGCCTCCTCCTTATTCTTGTCAACTCTGGCCCAGCTGCATGGGGGCTGCACTCTGATATGTCTTTCTTGGTATTTGTTCCTCCCTTATCCTCAGCTCTGACCCTGCTTTTACGGGCTGTTTATCTGAGTCAAGGCTCAGCCATTGTCCTATCTTGTTACTAAGGGGGGCTCTAATTCTTCCCTTCATCTTGTTCTAGTTTCTTGTTTTCGGCCCAGGCTTGACCTAGTGTTAAAGTTTGGCCCCTTCATCCTTCCCTCAGCACCTGTGATGGTCACAGCACAGGACCCCGCCGGCTGTTCTACACGTTGTTACCCCTGTTTCCCTGTATGACATTTACTACAATTTAAAATTATATGTATAGAGAATCAAGATGGCAGAGGAGTGAGTGGAAGTCACACTGACCTCCTCCCAGGACCAACCTGGAATTACAACTAAAGGGTGAAGAAATCACCTGGAACAAACAACTGAACAGTAGTGGGAGTGGAGCCTTACAACCTTGGACAGACAGAAGAATCAGCTTTAGCGCAATCTAACTGGTAAGGAGTGCGGTAGAGACTTGAGAAGGCAAGCAGGGCACCCAGGGGAACAGCACCAGGAGGATATTGAAATGGACAGTTGGATCCCCCTGAGAAGAGCAGGGCCTAAACTGTAAGTGGGAATCTCCAGCCTACAGCACCAGAGCCCAAAAAGTACACAGATAACAGCCAGCTGTGAAAAGCGGCAGGGTTGCTCTCTGCCAGAGACGGGCAGCTGGAGACACAAAGAGCCATTTAAAGGGTCAATGCATAAATTTTTATTTGCAGCCACTTACCCTGGTCTGCAGCAAAGGTGGGGGCAGAGGGGGTTAGAGACGCCTGAGGAGAGACTGGGGAAGGAGGCTTTGGGGAGAAAACTGAGAGAGTAGCTGATGGGATACCAGTGCTGACTGATCCCCCATACGGCAGCAGCCATCTGACTCAGGCAGACCACTGCCCTGAGTGGCAGCAGCAAAACAGGACCCCACCCCCAGGGGGGACTCTGCCCTGCTCTGTGGCATCTAAGCCAACCTGCTGAGTGCAGAGTGACTACATTAACAATGGATGGAGACAGCCACAGACAGTAGATTCCTGGAAGTCTTGAAAAAACTGCTTAAGGTCAGATAGGGTCAACATCTTACATCATCAAAAGCAGATCCAGAAAGAAAAAACAGTGGTCTCCTACCATAGAAGTTCACACCACAAAGTCAGGAAATCAAGACAGATCAATTAAAGAAGCAGAAGCAAAAAAGAAGAGTCTCACAAATAATGGGAAGACAAAAAAACACACCCCAGATGAAGGGAAAAGAGGAAGCCCCAGAAAGAGAACAGAATGAAATAGAGGCAAGTCAACTATCAGATATTGAGTTGAAAACAATGGGTTTAAGGAAGTTCAATGAGCTCAGTGAGCTCAGAGAGAATTACAAAAAACTACAGGGAAACTATGAGGAACTTACTGCAAACTGTATCAGCATGAAAAAGGACATAGAAACTATCAATAAGAGACCAGAGGAAATGAAGAATACAATTTCTGAAATGAAGAACACAGTAGAAGGAATCAAAAGCAGGCTAGATGAAGCAGAAGACTGAATCAGCGAGCTGGAGGATAAGGTAGAAAAAAGCTCCCAGAAAGACCAAGAAAATGAAAAAACACTAAAAAAGAATGAAGAGGCATTTAGGGAAATGCGGAACAACCTGAAACATAATCATATCTGTATAACAGTGATACCAGAAGGAGGAGAAGAGGAGGAAGGGATAGAGAAACCGTTTGAAAAAGTAATGATGGAAAACTTCCCTTTTTTTTTTTTTGAGGAGAGAAAAAGTCACACAAGTCCAGGAAGCACAGGGTGTCCCACTCAAGAGAAATCAATGAGGCCCACTGCAAGACACAACATCATTAAAATGGCAAATAGCAAAGACAAACAGAGAACCGTAAAGGTAGCAAGGGAGAAAGACGAAATAACATATCAGGGAGCCCCGATACAGCTAGCAGCTGACTTCTCAATAGAAACACTACAATAGAAGTGAGCGGCAAGAAATATTCCAAGCTATGAAAAGCAAAGGCCTGCAACCAAGACTGCTCTACCCAGCAAGTTTATCAATTAAAATGGAAGGCAAAATAAGGAATTTCCCAGACAAAAGAAGGTTAAAAGAATACACTTGACCAAACCAGCACTGCAAGAATTGCTAAAGGGGCCACTTTAAGAAGATGAAGAAAAAGAGTCTTTGGATACCCAGTTCCTGTCACAGTACCCAATACTTGATATTACTAATATTTTAATACTTTTTAATCTGATTGTGATAATGATGTGTTTTTTTTATTTGTTGAAACTAAAACTGTTTTTGTATATTTCTTGCCTATTTCTTTTATTTTTAAAAAGCTTTACATGACTTTTTGGTATTTTTTATCCATTTTAATTAAATGTTTGTAGAATTTTTTTCCCTAAAAAAAACCCCCACCATTAACCCTTTTTAGATGTGTTGCAAATACTTTCCTATTCTATTACTTGTCCTTTAACTTTTTAATATGTATATTACTAGATAGTCTTAAATGTTTAATATAGTCCTATTATCAATATTTTACTTTATAGCTTCTGGGTTTCAATATTTTACTTTAGGGTAAGAAAATTATTAGTTTCTATTTTCTCCTAAAACTCCTTAGATTTTACATGTTGATTTTTAACTCACCTGAATATTTTTGTATAATGTGTGAAATAGGGCTCTATAATTGTTTTATTTCAAGTAATAGTGGTCCATGCATCTTATCTGTAGAATAAGCCTAATTTTCCCCATGGATTTGGAATATCAATTTAATCATATATTACATTGTTAGACAGAGATATACGTTTGCTTCTAGAATGCTCATTTTACTTCATTGATCTACTTGATTCTTTTTGTGCTGGAGTCATGGTGTTTTAATTGCTGAGATTTTATAATGGATTTAAATTTTTTAATATTTTATAATGGATTTTGACATTTAAATCAATCAATAAATAAAATCAATCTGCATAAAATATATGTATATGCAGTATATGTATAATACGAGTAATATGCATAGGTAGTTATATATTTTTAATAATTGCATGATTATAATACAATTATAGTAAATGTAAATACTTATAAAATTATTTAATTTAACTTATGTATGTATAATTTAAATCATAAATATTTTAAATATATAACAAAATAACTTATTTGACATAAGTTTTATATATAAATCAATTATAATAACTATACATTTTATTGAATCATGAATGATATATATTCATGTAAAATAGACATTAATTTAACAATATGTGAAATAATGTACAATGTCTATATTCATTTGTGATGATATATTAATGTATTATATTAATTATATTACTTATATATTTAATGTATAATCTAAATATGTAAATTAATTTAAGTTATAGATCTGAAGCTTCACACTGTAAATTACTGACCTGTATTTGCACATACAGACTTGCTTGCATGCTCTTGTTCATTCTAATCAATCCTCCCCGTTAGAACTGGGAGGCCAGGGACCCTTTCCACTCATCCCCCGTGGGCAGCAAGCCCGCCGCAGGGGGGCGTCTGCTGCAGCCCAGGAGACAAGGAAATATTTGCTCCACACTAGTAAGAGCCTGTCCCGCAGTTCCTGTGCCCGGGACGGACTGCCGCGCCCTGCCCTGGGTAATGCCCTCTGCGTCCCCGCACGGCGCTGTGCTCAGCCTTCTCCCAGAGCGGCCTCTCTGCCTCTAGGTGACTTCATCGTTGTTCAGATACAATCGCCAAGAGGTCCCTTCTCTCCTGGGGTCGCAGTTTGGAAACTGAGCTCAGTCCCTCTGTCCCTCTGGCCCCCTGTCCCTCTGTCTTGCAGGGTAGCAGGACCTTGCCCACAAGGGGGCGGTGCAGAGCTGTGAACAAACCCCGGAGCCTGGTTCCGGCCTCCCTGGGCGGCTTCTGCCTCTCCATGAGCTTGTGTCTTTGGGCAAGAACCCTGAGCTTTGTTTCTGCAGGTTTAGAAAAGCGGGGCTCTCAGAGGTCACACACGCACCCGCCTCAGTGGCCCTTGTGGGCAGGACATGCTTTCACGGAGCCGGGCACCGGTTCGTCCATCCTGCCCGTGAAGTTGTCCCCGTCGTGAGCCTTGGTGCCGCCCTTGTGAGTGACAGGGCCTTGCTGTGGCTTTTCTAAATATTGAATTTATTGGGGTGAATTGGGTTAATAACACCATACAAGTTTCAAGGGTCCACGTCAATAAAACATCGCCCGCCCACTGCATGGTGCGCCTGTCGCCCAAAGGAAAGTCTCTCTCTGTTCCCGTCCATCCCACTTTGCCTTCGTCCACCTCCCACATTCCCCCTTCCCCTCTGGCTGTCTCCTCGCAGTTACTTGTGTGTACGTGTCAAGCATATATGTATATATGTGTGTCTGTACATGTATGCATATAGATTGGATTATAGACATCTATACTTTTTCAGGAATCCTTTCACCTTTGGCACCCAGCCTCCAAGCCCCTCTCTTCTAACAGCTGTCGGTCTGTTCTGTGTCATACGCTTCTGTTTCTCTGTTGTTAAATTCCTTTGTTCATTAGATTCCACCTATAGGTGAGATCATACGGTATTTGTCTTGCTCTGACTCTCTAGCACAGGGCAGAAGGCTCCGCCCCAGGGACCGATCCCCAGCACAGAGCCCCCCAGACCCCTCCAGGCTGCGGTCACTACTCACCATCGGAGGGGGGGTTCGTGCGAGTGACGGTGGTGGAGCCGTCGACTCCGGGGGCTCCCGCGAGCAGGGCAGGGGAAGGGCTGCTGCTGGGGGGGCGGCTGCCTGGGGCTGCCTGCCTGGCCTGGCCCCTCTCACCGTGAGTCCCTTTGTCCCCCTCTCAGTCCCAGATGACACCCCCCATTCCTGAGAGATGGGGGCAGGAGGCAGGAGAGCCCCCCCACTCTATCCTGCTGAGGGGAAGTGGTCTCTCTTCTCACTTCCCACCTCCATGACCTTGACCTCGACCTCACGGGTCAGCACCGAGCTGCTCCTCCGTGGCCCTGGGAGGACATGGAGGGGGGACTGAGTGTCCCCAGTGGACCCTGAGTCCAGGACATCTGAGGGCTGAACACTCAGGAGAAGGACACCTCATCCCCCAAATCCCTCAAAGCAACATCCCGCCCTGGTCACGGCCCCCTGGGCCACGGGACTTTCCAAAAGGATCAATCGCACATAAGGGACACATGACGGGGGCCCCACCGAGTCTCGCCCAGTGAAAAGGGCAGGAAAACAGCATCCTGAGGGCAGAGACACATGTCTCCTTGAAGGGGGCGTCCCCGCCTGACCTCTGGAAGTCAACTCCCCACCCAGCCCTGCAGGGACAGCTCCTTGTCCCCAACAATGCTGGACTCAGCGTCAAGGACATCATGGTGTCAGGGTGGGTCCAGGGCTCCAGAGCCCTGAGCTGGGTGTGAAGGTCAAAGGGCACGAGGGCAAAGGGTCAGGGGAGCCTCAGGGTTGGGGGTCAGCAGGAGGGCAGGGAGCCTGGGACACAGGACACAGGTCAGGACAGGGGGCAGGGGCCAGGAGCAAACCTGAAGGTGGAGTGGAGACGTCCTCATCGGTCACCTGCAGTTCCAGGGGGTCACTGCGCGCAGACCACTGCGATGAATTGGTCACTTTGAGATACAGGCAGTGATAAGTCCCAGCCGTGTCTTCATTCACTGCGGGGATGCGGAATCTGGCCTCTGTCCCCTGTGAGCCATGTGGAGAAGAGATTTCCTGATCCCGATAAGCAGGTACATTCTCCTTTTCCACCAGACGGAACAGGTCAGCCCCAGCTGGGCCCCGGCACACGATGGTCACAGGCTGTCCCCGGCGGATCACAGGCCCCGGCTCGGCCCCGATGGAGGGTGCGGGCGGGGCCCCTGGGAGGAAGCAGAGCTGGTCTCAGGGTCCCTCAGGAGGAAGGCACCGCGCCTCCCAGTCCCCCATTTTCAGCGTTCACTTCCCTGCTTTTAGCAAACTTGCAGGGCTGTGCGACCATCCCCCCAACCCCACGGAGCACCTCCCACCGTCCTGGCCCAAACACCACCCCCACGCCCACTCCTGGAGACCGTGAATCCTCCTCACTGCAGCCCGATCCCCCTGGCACGGGACCCCGGGTCTTGGTGACATGTTGGGCTTTTCTCAGGGTGACATGGGAGGGGTCAGCACAGGCTGTGGCCTCAAGCACATGTTCCTGCCCACGGCCACTTTCTAGGGGACAGCGATGCTGGGAAGGAGGCAGAGGGTCAGGATGAGGGTGTTCTCGTGGAGACAGGGAAGCAGGCATCTGAGACGTGGGAATGACCTGGGCAGGGTCTGAAGGGCAGCTGGGTGAGGCTGTGAGGAGCCAACAGGGGCCTGGGAGATCCCCTGGAGGTGCGGGGGTGTGGAGGTCCAGAGTAGGCCTGGTCACATGACCCCAGTGCCCGGGGATTCCTCACTCAGGGCGAGTCCTCTGAGCAGCACTCGTCTCTGTTCCCACTGCATGTCTACCTTCCTTGCAGCCTATTCTCCCTCCCTTATTATTGAGGCTCTAGAAAACCCTATCTCTGACCCTCAGCTGAGGCGGGAGGACGAGAGGGCACCCCCGTCACAGGGTCCCCGCAGAGGCAGGCGCGGGCCGAGGCTCCCCACCCTCTCAGTCGGTCGCTCCCTCGCTCATTCTTTCCGCCACATCCTGGTTCCCCACCCACCGTCCACGGAGGTGCTCCATGTGCCCCTGGCCCCACAAACACGAAACACACACACAAGGACCTGCCCCTTGTCTGGAGCGGTCGCGGGAGCCCAGAGGCTGAGGAAGGGGCTGTGCACACCCACGGCCACACACGGTGACACCCGCCCGGGTGAGTGTGGGAGACTCGGGCCGACGAGGGACCGCGGACCTCATCCGGGGTCAGCGGGGAGAGGCACTGCGCGGAGACGCACGGCCGAGGGTGAACGAGCCCCGCCCAGCGAGCGGGGAGCCCTCCTGGAAGGATTCGGGGTGCAGCGGGACAACGGTGTGTGTGGGAGTGGAAGAAGGGGGGTCCCCGCAGGTCAGGGAGTCAGACAGCGGGAGAACAGGCCCATCCAGACAGAGGGAGGGGCCCCGGCCGGGCTGAGCGTCCGCCGTCAGAGGACTGACTCTGCGGAAAGTCAACGCTTTGCCAGGAAACACAACATAGACGGAAAACGAAATCAAAAGAGGCGGACTCACCGTCCCCGAGGTGGACGGCCGGGGCCAGGCAGAGCACTGGAAGAGAAGCCGCCGTGAGAAAACGCCCCAGCCCGGCTTCCTCCGGGGCTGCAGTCCGGGCCCTGATTCGGGGGGTCACCCCCACGAGGGTCCAGCGCCCTCCTCAGCCGCACCTGTGAGCACAGCCCTTCTTCTTGCAACTAAGCCCCAACCCCCTCTCCCAAAAGGTACTCAGTCGGAACTGGTCCCCATACCCCGGTGCCCGCTTCTAGGGCTCAACCTTCCTTCCTCAGACTTGGGTCAGGGCCGGAGCTGAGGGCCAGACCCCTGCGAGGGACCGTGAGTCTCCGGGGCTGGTGTCAGGTCTCAGCAGGGACGCAGACGCCTCCCCAAGCTTCAACCCATTCTCTCCTGGAGGCTGTCCCTCCAGGCCAAGGCTCACCGAGGCCCAGGAAACGGGCGGGGGGAGGCGCCATGGCCAGCCCTGCAGCGCACACGGTCCTGGAGCTGGACAGGTCAGACGGAGCCTGCAGCAGGCGCGGTGGACCGGAAGTGCCGGCCAGAGGCAGGCCGGGTTGCCACCTGAACGTCCTTGCGCAAAGGGGAAGAACCCCTGCGGAGAGTCCTGAGCACAGCGAGCGAAGAGTGTGTTTGAGGAACCAACAGGGGCGGGTGCTGCACCTAGAGCAGGAGGTGGGGCGCCCCGCCCCGGGGCTGAGCAAACCACAGCAGGGCTTCTGCTCTCTAACAATAAATTAATAAAATCTTGAAAAAAACCAAAATCCTCCTGACAATGTCACCCGGCTGGGACACACTCGGCTCTGTGTTGTGGAGAGAGAGGTCTGGCCCATGTCTCGGGCTGGCGTGGGGGTGGGCATGGCGACGGCTGTGGTCGGGGGTCTCATCCTTGGCATCCGTGTGACCCTGGCGGTCCCCTCCCCAAGGGAAAGCCCTAAGCGGGGTCTCACTGGCTGCAGCCCCTCAGAGAGCGTCACCGCTTGTGCGGGCTCCACGGAAGTCCCCCTCCAACACAGAGGGTCCGGTGCAGAGCCTGCCGCCCGCATCGCTCCAAGGGCCAGTCATGTATGTGCAGGTAGACCACTCGGGCGGGCGTCACAGAGAGCGTATCCAAAGGTCAGAGGCCGCAGGGCACGCGGACACACCGAGAAATGAAGCGAGGACCCAGAGGATGACCAAAGCAGGAAACAGAGTCAACCTGGACTCTTGGGCAGAAACGTAGCCCATAGCAACAGGCGGCCTCGGGTAAGGACAAGCACGTAGAGGGAGAGAGAGATGTGCACAGAGGGTGTGTGTGAAGGTTCTATTTCATCTTCTGATGTGAGGAGCCCGTGGTGCGTGACAAAGGCAGGACACGAGTTTATGTGCATATAAACTGTCTGGCTGCTTTTTGTACGTTGCTGAGTTCAGGGTCATGTACGGTTGGCGTCATTCAGCAGCATTCCCGCCTCCATCATTCAGGTGTGGTGTGTCTTCATGGAGACCTGGCCATCTTTTGGTGTCCGGACAGACACGGCCTTGGCACCCGAGGCTGAACCACTCTCAGCTCTGACTGCACTTGGAGAGCGAAGACACTGCGAGGAAACAGACCCAGGTGGCCGGTCACCCCCGTCTCCTCCGACTATCTCGTTGTACTTACGAGGAAGCACCGTTATCGATGCCACTGGGAGGCAGTTTGAGAAGTTGTTGTTGATGTCTTTTCTCTCTAGATCACAGGGCACTTTTGCTTTCTATGTTGTGCACAGGAGCTTTAACGTTACACCCCATCCATGCCAGCTTGGACTTTCATCATAGCAAGAGGAGCACAGGTAACTGCCAGAGGCCGTGTCTTCCTTGGTGCTTTTAGACCGATGCCATTAACACGTCCTTGGAGTGGAACGCTGAGGTCTTGCTCGAGGAGAGGAGCAGGTGTCCTGTCGTACTCTTCCCAGAGCCCTCCCTGCTGGAAACGAGACTCCCCGCACAGCCGGGGGGAGCCGCGGAGGTTCGGAGGTTCGGAGGTTCGGAGGTTCGTTTCCTCCTAAGTCAGCCGAAATGATGTCACTGTGGGGCCCATCCGTCGGATCCCAGAGCACTCTCTAGGGATTTCTCTCCTTAGAAGCTTCAGGCTTAGCTTCCTGCTGCCTCAGGGACCCCTGAGGTTAAAGACCATCTATGCTTTTAGGTCAGCAAGTAGGGCTAGGACTTCTACTTTGGGAATCTCTCCTCTGTCCCTGTATGGCTTTTCGTTGGTTTGTTCTGCACATTTTCCCCCATGGATGGAACCGATGAACAAGGTGATGAGGAACTACCTAGACAGTTAGGGAATCCTTCCCAACAACACATTCTGCCCCATGGGCAACCTCATCCATCGCAAGCCTATCGTTTCTGTATCTACTGAGAATGAAAACCAAAGTGAGATCATTGAACGTGTAGCTCATCCTTCCAACCCCTGAATTATTTTTTATTAAAGGACTTTTTCTTATTGAAAATGATCTGAGAGCCCACCGTTACGCGGCAGTCGTGGGACAGGTTTCTGGAAGGGGGAGTCCCCTTTTCTTCCCTCGCGTTTGAGGTCCGCCCCGAGCTGCAACCTTCCTCTTCCCAGCGTCTGTCGTCTCTGTGAGGAGTCCTGAGGCTGAGTTCCACGGCAATTCTTCATAGAATAAAGCAGCATTTAGAGTTGAGGCTGTTGTGAGGTGAGCTTCAACCTCCACCGCAGGTGCCAGGTCCTTCCGTTGCTGCGGAGCTGTCTGTCGGCTCTTCCCTTGCCTCGTGGCCAGCGCTGCCTTTCTATGCACATATTCACGGAGGGGGCTTTGTAATCACACTCCACCCGGTGACCCGCCGCCGCCGGAGACGTCTGCGCTGCCGTCGGTGTGGCAGGAGGGAAAGATGCCGGCCCTGTGGCCTCGCCTTCCTGCTCATGGGCCGAGCGCCAGCGGAGGAGCCCCATGGGCCCACCTTCTCTCCTAGAACCTCCTGCCCCGAGTGTGAAGACAAGAGCCGTGGGAGGCCCTCTTGTGTGAACTGGGGAGGGAAGGGCCAGCTGCTGGACTGTGTGCGATCTTCAAAAGGATGCCGAGATGCAGAACATGGTGAGCCTTTGTAAGGCGGAAAGGACACGCCTTGTTGAGAGCAGGTGTGTGGTTTCCATGCGGTGCTTCCTGAGAGTCACTGTGTACGGAGAAAAGGGACATTCTCCTTGCTCCTTTCCCGCCCCGGCCCTGGGAATAAGCTGTAGAGTCCTAGCACCCCCTGGTAGCAACCGCCCCCGCCTCCCCTTCCTTGGGCAGACCGCGAGCTGCAACCAGCGCACCCGCCCCCATCTCTCTAACGACACCGCCGCCGGGGGCCTCCCTGCCCTCAGCTCCCCATGCCGCCTCCTGCCTGACCCGTCACCTCCCCGCCCCGCCAGCCCCCCAGACGGGTGGGCACTTGGCAGAGGCCCTCCGCACACGCGGGGCCCTCATCCGCGGCAGATCGCGGCTCCGTGACAGGCAGGTCCCTGGGAGTGGCTCACACGTGGGAGCACTTCGTCCTCACAGCACAGCACCTCCTGTGGGTCTCGGGGCCCTCTCTCTGTGTCCCCGCCTCCCTGTCCCCGGCCACAGCGGCCACGGTGGGGCTTGTTCGAAATGAAAGAGCACCTTCTGCTCTTCTTATCGGCAGAACGAGGCCTTCTTCCAATGACAGGTGACTTTGCTGAGGCACCATCTAAAAGGGGTGACTCCCAGGTAGAATCCCAGACCCTTGGCAGCTGTTCCGTGGGACTGAGTCCCGCTGGGAAACACCGCCAAGGTCATTGTCTTTTGTTTTCTTTTTCAATTGTTGTACTTTTGTGAATATTTTTGATACATCTTTTTTGATTAGAGAAAATTGAAAAGGAAGCTGAAAGAAACCCAAAGTGTCTGACCTAAAGGGAGCCAGACAGAGCAGGGCAGGATGTGGGGACAGGCGGACGCGGCCAGAGGAAGGGCATTGGCAAGGGATGTGATGGGCCTTCAATGCAGCCGGTCGGAGGTTCAGCTGGAGAGTAAAGTCATCAGTTGGTTTGTCTAAATTCACCTGCAGGACAGAACAGGGCGAAGGGGGCCCATGTAGCAATTGCGGAGGGGAGAGCTGATGGAGCCCAGATGGGGGCACAGCGTCTGGCCACGATATGGGTCCATGTAAGGAACATGGGCGGGCCATACGGGGAATCCTGGGTGGCTGTGTTATCTGGTCCTTGACCAGCAGCCTTCACTGAGAAAACAGGAGGGCACTGAGGAGGAGGCAGGGGTGAGCAGGTGAGGACCAGGGGTCCAGTGTTGCATCTGTTGGGTCTCAGGAGTCTAGAAATCAGCACTGCTATCCCATGGGTGTTGGCAGATAGACAGGTAGATAATATATACATAGATGATAGATTACCATATAGATATAGGTGATAGATGGATAGACATAGAAGTAGATCACATGAAGATTGGTAGATCATTAGATGACAGGTTGATGGATAAATAAATGATAGGTAGGTAGATATATATCTATGTAGATATATATAGACATACATAGATCCTTGGATATATAGATACTTATATAGATACACGGTTACATAGATAAATACAGAGTTTGAGAATTCCATAGATACGTACATAGATCAATGGTTACATAGACAGACACATAGATACTTAGATACATAGATAGTAACAGAGATACATAAATACTTAGACACATAGTATTTATGTGTCTAAATACTTAATAGTATTTAGTTACTATTAACTAAATATTACTTAACTATTTAGTTAAGTAAACGTAACTAAATTTACTGATTTAGTTACATTAGTACATTTAACTAATTTTACCAAACAGTTAATTAGTAATTAACTAATTCACTTAGTTAATTAAGCAATTAACTAATTAATTAACTTGGTTCATTTAAATACATAAATTGTATTTAAATACATAGGTACTTAGATACATAGGTAAATACCTAGACAGTAGTGAGAGAAGCTTATTGGCTTGGTTTCTCGTCCTCACAGACCGATAGTCCCCAACAACCCATTTATGCAAACACTTTGGTTTCCCACATGCAAAAGGCGAACCATAAAACCTCTTGAGACCTTCATGTTATTCCTGGGGGTGCACAGAGAGGAGCGTGGCACCCTGGAGGGACACTCAGTCTGCCCTCCGTCATGCTCTCCAGGGCAGGTGGCACCCTCCTCGGGCACGATGCCCTTGTCTCTGTGCCCCGCTGTGTCCTGTGACCATGAGCTGTGCTCTGTGCTTTGCAAATACCTGCCACCCAGGTGGCCCTGTTATTAATAAACGGAAAGCCCCGAAGCCCACAGAAGCAAATGCGCTAATGAATCAGTTAATCAGTTATATTGTCCACATGTTGGTGGACGGGGCTTCTTGGAAGGTTGAGTTTGCAAAGAACCAGGTGGATCTGAGGGCTAGATTGCCAACTGGAGGCTGAGGGCATCTTTGGGTCCCTTTATGGCACAGGTCACAGGTATTGTGTGTAGACCAAGTGGGCTCCCAACCTCTGTCCCTCACAACATGGAGTCATGTGATCATGACGTCACAGGGGAAGAGCCGGCCCCACGGGGAGGAACGTGGGAGAATCAGGACCGAGAGGGAAAGGCCTGGGCCTTCTCAGGGTCACAGCCCAGGGACTGGCTGCTGGGACGCAGCTCCAGGCAGCCTCCCAGGCAGAGCTGGGGCCATCCGTAGGGACTCCCTCATTGTCCCGGGTCAGCCAGGTGAGGTCTGATGGAGATTGAGGCGGTGTCTGCAATGCCAGCTGTCATGTCCTCCTGGACAATGCGGAGCTCGGCCTCTCCAGGGACACAGCCCTGCGGCTCTCCCCAGACCTCGAGCTCACGCCCAGGGGAGACCCGGTCCTGTGGTCACTGCTGTTCAAGGAGAGGAGCGCCAGGCTCTCCGCCTGGGCCTCCCCCTCCGGGCTCCAAGGCCCGTGGGCGTGACGATCCTCGGCCTCAGCCCCACCTGCCCAGTTCTCCATGTTCCCGAGCCCCAGTGGCCCAGCACCTCTGAGAAACAGAAGGTTCAGACTCTGGGCTCTGCCCTGGGAACGAACCCAGGACGTGACCCCGTGGATTGAGAGGGGTGTGGCCACAGGAGACGGTGTCCCCGACGTGCTTCCGGGAACCCCGGTCTGTGGTCAGAGCCACTCCCTCAGAGAGCATCTCTCTTTCTAGGTCAGACAGCTGGCCCGGGTTCCCCGGGAAACACGCCCTGTGCTGAGACCCGCCCCTGCGCGAGGACAAGCAGAGCGGCTGTGCAGTGTCCCGTCCTGCCCACCAAGCAGTCGCCTGTGTTAACATGGTTCACTCCAGCTGCAAAGCCGGTGAGAGGGAGCAGGAGGGGACGGGGCCGACGAAGCAAACGTCTGAGAGGGGGCACTGGTCGTGGCCGTGCCACGGACCTGGTGGTGGCGCACAGAGCACACACTCGGGTCCCCTCTTCACCTGGGCGTCCATGCCTCCTCCCCTCGGGCGGGGGAGCTCCTGGTTGCCTGCCCTTGGCACCCCGGACTCACACCAGCCGCCCTGCGGGTCTCAGGCCTTTGGACTTGCACGGAGTTAAAGCACCAGCTCTCCTGGGCCTCTGTGTGCAGACCGCAGCGGGTGGGACTCGCAGCTTCAACAACCTGTGCGCCTATTCCTGCGCTGAACCTCCCCTTAGACACCTATGTCTCCAGGTAACCTGTGGGGTCTTTTTACCTGGGGAACCCAGACTAACACACTAACAGATGAAAAGAGGTCGGAGAGACGGAGAGAGAAGTTCACCCCAGGGAAACAAAGGTAGAAATAGAGAATTGGAGAGCAAATCCCTGGAGAAATTAACCCTGGAGAGAAAGAGCGCATTAAAGATCAGTGCAATGTGACAGCGAGTAGGAAGGCTGGACACCCACCCTCTCTGGGCCACGACAGAAACCTCCTGAAGGAGGTTAGCCTGTCCTGAGGCCAGAGCTAGCTGACCTTGGGCAAGTTCGTGAGTATTTCAGTGCCTAGCTTTTAAAACACAAAGCAAAACAAAACGAAACAGAGAAAAGACGGAAGGTGCTCTGGAGGATTTCAACCAGGATTCAACATGCTAGTATTTCATAGAACCAAAACAGCAAGTGCATTTTTAAAGGAGCTGGCTGAGTTGCGGTTGAAATTTTAAATATATTCCTTTAATATAGGATAACATTTTTTTAATGCGAGGCTTGTAACAGGCATGCAGGTTTCTCCTTTTTGCTATTAAAAAATAATGCAAAGTTAATGCGAACAGACCCTTGCGCCCCCTAGCAGTTCTCAGGGTGAAGGCTCATTTTAACCTGATGGGACAGCTGGTTTGACCACCTCATCTGGGTCCCTGGCAACTGCTGGGCAACAGTAGCTGGGTCCCTGGAAACTGCTGGACAACATTAGCTGGGTCCCTGGAAACTGCTGGAAAGAGCTGGGTCTCTAGAAACTGCTAGACAACACTTGCTGGGCCTCTGGAAACAGTCAGCTGCCAGTAGATAGCTCTGTGGACACAAGTGTTCCAAGGGAGCTCCTCCGAACTGGTTGATGGGAGGAGGGGTTACCCGGTTAGCTAACCTCCTACATGGTGAGTAGGGGTCTTGGACTCCAGGTCTTGCCTCCAGAACAATTGCCAAGATGACTTTCAAGACAGGGATATTTTCATAGGGAAATCCTACAAGTGGCTGTTACTGGCCTTTCCAAGAGTCACTTCCCGTGTCTCTGGGAACAAAGGCCGGGCGGTCCTGAAGTCAGCGTCTGGGGAGGGCTGCATACATGCTGGAGTCGCCTGTGGGCTCCATGGTCGGTGGGGATGCGTCTTGAGCGGCTCTCCGTGTGAGGGCCCACTGGTCCAGCTGGGCATACGTCACCTCCTGGGGGTCTCCTGCAGCAGGGCTCTGAGGGACAGACCCAGGCTGTCACTGTGGCCGAGGCTGAGGAGGGGGGCTGCACGGAGGGAAGACTGGGCAGCCCGCTCCCCCGCGGCCCCTGTGATCCCACCCCCCGCATCTCCATTGTGTAGTCGCCTTCCACACTCGATCACGGCTGGTCTGCGTGACAATAGAATATGGCAGAAGAGAGGGCCTGACACCTCCAAGGAGGGGCCCCCAAAGCCATTGTGGCTTCTGCCCGGCCACTCTGGGACCCAGCCCTGGGGAGGCCGGCTGCCATGCATGGAGCAGCCCGCGTGCCTGCAGAGGAGCTGAGGCCTCCCGCCCGCGGCCCTGCAGGGCGGGGGCTCCCTGCAAGGGGACCGTGCGGCCCGGTCACGCCTTCAGACGGATGCAGCCCTGCTCAACCAGGCAGCAGCCTCGGGAGAGCCCGTGAGCCAGCACCACCCAGCGGATCCAACCTGCTCGCAAGTCCTGACCGGGGACGCCGGGCTCATCTCGTGAAGCGGCTGAAGTGGGGGTGCTCTGTTACCCGGACCCTGGTGGCTAGTGCAAGGACTCACTGGGCTGTGCGTGTCTCTGTTCTTCTCAGGAACTGTATCCGCTGCCGCCACATCTGGAAGGGAGACAAGAGCGGTCCGTTCTTTGGGGCGGACCTTGGAAGGCAAATGTGCCTGAAAGCTCCCAGGTGCAGATTTCATGCTCCATGTGATCTAGAACAATCTCTCATGTTCCCACATACCCTCCCACCTCAGTGCTTCCAGAATGGCACTGAACGCCCATATTCCTTCTCCCCACAGGCCCCCTCTCCTTCTCCCTTTACCTGCTGTGCTCTCTATGACGTCAGCAGTCGGGCTGCGCCTGAGGAGAAGGAACAGGTGAGCAGGTGGGGCACCTGGAGGCAGAGAACTGGGACGGGGGCATCGTCATTGGGTGAGTGGGTGGGGTCGCGGGGTCGGGCCTCACCTCTCCTGGGGCGCGGGCTCCTTGCCCTTGCTCCCGGGGGGTCCTGCGGACAGTCAGCGGCGTGAATTAGGGGGGAGGCTGTCTTCCCAGCACCCACATGCCACCCCGCAGAACCCCTCCCTGACCCTGAGACCTACCGCGTTTTTTCTGACGCTGCTGATGTACTAGAAGGAGGACCAGGAAGAGGAGGCAAAGGGCAAAGGCTACAGAGATCCCGACAAGAATGTAAATATGCTCTGTCGACAAGCCTAGGGGAGCAGGGAAGAGAGAGGCAAAGTATCAGCAGCGTGCATTTACTGAGCACCTACTGCATGCCATGTACATGCCGGGTGCTTGTCATGGTCACACCCACATATAACAATCTGTCACGTGCATCATAGCCTGCCACATGGGGATCATTATCCCCACTTTCCAAAACCGGGGTCCTGAGCGCTCTTGTCCTCCGCACACAGGAGGATGACAGAGCTGGCATATGACCAAGACCGAAGCCCATTCTTGTCCCCTCCCCCAAGAGGCAGCCCCCAGTCCATGGTCCTCTGTCCCCATCACTCACTGCTCTTGTTACTGTCCTGGGAATTTGTCCGTGTGTCTCCTAGGAGTGAGGAATCAGGAGGACGTGCGTCACAGGCTGGAGCTGGGCAGAGGAGGCTCTGAACCTCCCCGCCCCCCACCCAGAATGGCCTCCTTCACTCTGGGACCCTCACCTGCTCCCTCCAGACCTGCTCTGCCCGTGGAACGTCCTGTGAGGTTGGAAATACCCTACCTAAGTCCTGTCCCAATTGGTAACCAGTGATTACCTTATCCCTTGGTATTGAAGTTAATAAATGTAAGAGGCAGACCCTCAGCTGCACTAGCCGCATGTCAGGGGCTCGGTGGCCACACTGGCTAACGACGTGCTCACTGGATGGCGCAGGTATCCCGCGTCCCTTCCCGCAAGAGGCTGCCTGCACGGCGCTGCCTGCCTCCCCGATGACACCGGCAGGAATGGGAGTGCTGACCTCCTTCTGGGTCCCCGCCGCGAAGGCAGGACGCCCCATCTCTAGTTTCCTGTTTCTCACAACAGCGCTGATGGGTTGGGCCGGCCTTTCTGGGAGGAATGAGGCCAAGCCCCTTGTCCTCGAACTCCTCGTCTTGTTGCCTGAAGCCCTGCAGTGAGCGGGCCAGTGGATGCAGCACCTGCCAACGGCTGGGCTTCGCGCATGCGCCGTAAGGCCACCAGGTTGGTCACCATGGTCCTCCTTTGCGCATGCGCACCACCTCTGCGGTTCCTGGAGGTCCGGCCAAGGTCCAGGGCTTTGTCCCTACACAGGAATCGCGTCCCTTGTTGCCTCTTCTGGAACCGCGCCCCTGCCCCTGTCGGAGGCTGAGTCCTCGCTGTCCCTTAAAGCAGGAAGCGTCACCTCCCAGAGGGTCCTTCCCCCAGCACCTGGGACGTCCACGGTCCAGGACCCCGCCGGCTCTTCCACACGTCGCTGCTCGTGCTCCCCGTCTGACATTTACCTCCATTTAGAACGATATGCATGTGCAGTGTATGTGCAATACATGTAATCTGCATAGGGTAGTTATAGATGTATACTACATTTCATGATTAGAATATAATTAGAATAAATATATTAAAAATTGTGTGATTTCTCTTCTATATGTGTAAGTCACGTCATATAAATATTTTTAAAATATAATTTAAAAGTACTTATATGCATGTTGTATATATCCATTATTCCAATTACACATGTTGTTGTATCATGCATGGTATATATTTATGTTGAAATCTACTTATATTAATTTTAGTAACACGTGAAATACTGTATAATATCTATATTCATTAGTGATGATATTAACGTATTTATTATATTAACCACGTATACATTTAATGTATAATCTAAATGTAGGCACTCACAAAACTTATAGATCTGAAGCTTTACACTGTAAATTACTGATTTATATTTGCACGTATAGACATGGTTACATCTTGTTACTCATTCTGATTAATCCTCCCCGTGAGAACTGGGAGGCCAATGACCCTTTCCACTCATCCCCCGTGGGCAGCAAGCCCGCCGCAGGGGGGCGTCTGCTGCAGCCCAGGAGACAAGGAAATATTTGCTCCACACTAGTAAGAGCCTGTCCCGCAGTTCCTGTGCCCGGGACGGACTGCCGCGCCCTGCCCTGGGTAATGCCCTCTGCGTCCCCGCACGGCGCTGTGCTCAGCCTTCTCCCAGAGCGGCCTCTCTGCCTCTAGGTGACTTCATCGTTGTTCAGATACAATCGCCAAGAGGTCCCTTCTCTCCTGGGGTCGCAGTTTGGAAACTGAGCTCAGTCCCTCTGTCCCTCTGGCCCCCTGTCCCTCTGTCTTGCACGGTAGCAGGACCTTGCCCACAAGGGGGCGGTGCAGAGCTGTGAACAAACCCCGGAGCCTGGTTCCGGCCTCCCTGGGCGGCTTCTGCCTCTCCTTGAGCTTGTGTCTTTGGGCAAGAACCCTGAGCTTTGTTTCTGCAGGTTTAGAAAAGCGGGGCTCTCAGAGGTCACACACGCACCCGCCTCAGTGGCCCTTGTGGGCAGGACATGCTTTCACGGAGCCGGGCACCGGTTCGTCCATCCTGCCCGTGAAGTTGTCCCCGTCGTGAGCCTTGGTGCCGCCCTTGTGAGTGACAGGGCCTTGCTGTGGCTTTTCTAAATATTGAATTTATTGGGGTGAATTTGGTTAATAACACCATACAAGTTTCAAGGGTCCACGTCAATAAAACATCGCCCGCCCACTGCATTGTGCGCCTGTCGCCCAAAGGAAAGTCTCTCTCTGTTCCCGTCCATCCCACTTTGCCTTCGTCCACCTCCCACATTCCCCCTTCCCCTCTGGCTGTCTCCTCGCAGTTACTTGTGTGTACGTGTCAAGTATATATGTATATATGTGTGTCTGTACATGTATGCATATAGATTGGATTATAGACATCTCTACTTTTTCAGGAATCCTTTCACCTTTGGCACCCAGCCTCCAAGCCCCTCTCTTCTAACAGCTGTCGGTCTGTTCTGTGTCATACGCTTCTGTTTCTATGTTGTTAAATTCCTTTGTTCATTAGATTCCACCTATAGGTGAGATCATACGGTATTTGTCTTGCTCTGACTCTCTAGCACAGGGCAGAAGGCTCCGCCCCAGGGACCGATCCCCAGCACAGAGCCCCCGAGACCCCTCCAGGCTGCGGTCACTACTCACCATCGGAGGGGGGGTTCGTGCGAGTGACGGTGGTGGAGCCGTCGACTCCGGGGGCTCCCGCGAGCAGGGCAGGGGAAGGGCTGCTGCTGGGGGGGTCTGCCTGGGGCTGCCCGCCTGGCCTGGCCCCTCCCACCGTGAGTCCCTTTGTCCCCCTCTCAGTCCCAGATGACACCCCCCATTCCTGAGAGATGGGGGCAGGAGGCAGGAGAGCCCCCCCACTCTATCCTGCTGAGGGGAAGTGGTCTCTCTTCTCACTTCCCACCTCCATGACCTTGACCTCGACCTCACGGGTCAGCACCGAGCTGCTCCTCCGTGGCCCCGGGAGGACATGGAGGGGGGACCGAGTGTCCCCAGTGGACCCTGAGTCTAGGACATCTGAGGGCTGAACACTCAGGAGAAGGACACCTCATCCCCCAAATCCCTCAAAGCAACATCCCGCCCTGGTCACGGCCCCCTGGGCCACGGGACTTTCCAAAAGGATCAATCGCACATAAGGGACACATGACGGGGGCCCCACCGAGTCTCGCCCAGTAAAAAGGGCAGGAAAACACCATCCTGAGGGCAGAGACACATGTCTCCTTGAAGGGGGCGTCCCCGCCTGACCTCTGGAAGTCAACTCCCCACCCAGCCCTGCAGGGACAGCTCCTTGTCCCCAACAATGCTGGACTCAGCGTCAAGGACATCATGGTGTCAGGGTGGGTCCAGGGCTCCAGGGCCCTGAGCTGGGTGTGAAGGTCAAAGGGCACGAGGGCAAAGGGTCAGGGGAGCCTCAGGGTTGGGGGTCAGCAGGAGGGCAGGGAGCCTGGGACACAGGACACAGGTCAGGACAGGGGGCAGGGGCCAGGAGCAAACCTGAAGGTGGAGTGGAGACGTCCTCATCGGTCACCTGCAGTTCCAGGGGGTCACTGTGCGCAGACCACTGCGATGAATTGGTCACTTTGTGATACAGGCAGTGATAAGTCCCAGCCGTGTCTTCATTCACTGCAGGGATGCGGAATCTGGCCTCTGTCCCCTGTGAGCCATGTGGAGAAGAGATTTCCTGATCCCAATAAGCAGACAGATTCTCCTTTTCCACCAGACGGAACAGGTCAGCCCCAGCTGGGCCCCGGCACACGATGGTCACAGGCTGTCCCCGGCGGATCACAGGCCCCGGCTCGGCCCCGATGGAGGGTGCGGGCGGGGCCCCTGGGAGGAAGCAGAGCTGGTCTCAGGGTCCCTCAGGAGGAAGGCACCGCGCCTCCCAGTCCCCCATTTTCAGCGTTCACTTCCCCGCTTTTAGCAAACTTGCAGGGCTGTGCGACCATCCCCCCAACCCCACGGAGCACCTCCCACCGTCCTGGCCCAAACACCACCCCCACGGCCACTCCTGGAGACCGTGAATCCTCCTCACTGCAGCCCGGTCCCCCTGGCACGGGACCCCGGGTCTTGGTGACATGTTGGGCTTTTCTCAGGGTGACATGGGAGGGGTCAGCACAGGCTGTGGCCTCAAGCACATGTCCCTGCCCACGGCCACTTTCTAGGGGACAGCGATGCTGGGAAGGAGGCAGAGGGTCAGGATGAGGGTGTTCTCGTGGGGACAGGGAAGCAGGCATCTGAGACGTGGGAATGACCTGGGCAGGGTCTGAAGGGCAGCTGGGTGAGGCTGTGAGGAGCCAACAGGGGCCTGGGAGATCCCCTGGAGGTGCGGGGGTGTGGAGGTCCAGAGTAGGCCTGGTCACATGACCCCAATGCCCGGGGATTCCTCCTCACTCAGGGCAAGTCCTCTGAGCAGCACTCGTCTCTGTTCCCACTGCATGTCTACCTTCCTTGCAGCCTATTCTCCCTCCCTTATTATTGAGGCTCCGGAAAACCCTATGTCTGACCCTCAGCCGAGGCGGGAGGAGGAGAGGGCACCCCCGTCACAGGGTCCCCGCAGAGGCAGGCGCGGGCCGAGGCTCCCCACCCTCTCAGTCGGTCGCTCCCTCGCTCATTCTTTCCGCCACATCCTGGTTCCCCTCCATCTGTCCACACCCCACAAACGCGAAACACACACACAAGGACCTGCCCCTTGTCTGGAGCGGTCGCGGGAGCCCAGAGGCTGAGGAAGGGGCTGTGCACACCCACGGCCACACACGGTGACACCCGCCCGGGTGAGTGTGGGAGACTCGGGCCGACGAGGGACCGCGGACCTCATCCGGGGGTCAGCGGGGAGAGGCACTGGGCGGAGACGCACAGCCGAGGGTGAACGAGCCCCGCCCAGCGAGCAGGGAGCCCTCCTGGAAGGATTTGGGGTGCAGCGGAACAACGGTGTGTGTGGGAGTGGAAGAAGGGGGGTCCCCGCAGGTCAGGGAGTCAGACAGCGGGAGAACAGGCCCATCCAGACAGAGGGAGGGGCCCCGGCCGGGCTGATCGTCCGCCGTCAGAGGACTGACTCTGCAGAAAGTCAACGCTTTGCCAGGAAACACAACGTAGACGGAAAACTAAATCAAAAGAGGCAGACTCACCGTCCCCGAGGTGGACGGCCGGGGCCAGGCAGAGCACTGGAAGAGAAGCCGCCGTGAGTAAACGCCCCAGCCCGGCTTCCTCCGGGGCTGCAGTCCGGGCCCTGATTCGGGGGGGTCACCCCCACGAGGGTCCAGCGCCCTCCTCAGCCGCACCTGTGAGCACAGCCCTTCTTCTTGCAACTAAGCCCCAACCCCCTCTCCCAAAAGGTACTCAGTCGGAACTGGTCCCCATACCCTGGTGCCCGCTTCTAGGGCTCAACCTTCCTTCCTCAGACTTGGGTCAGGGCCGGAGCTGAGGGCCAGACCCCTGCAAGGGACCGTGAGTCTCCGAGGCTGGTGTCAGGTCTCAGCAGGGACGCAGACACCTCCCCAAGCTTCAGCCCACTCTCTCCTGGAGGCTGTCCCCCCAGGCCAAGGCTCACCGAGGCCCAGGAAACGGGCGGGGGGAGGCGCCATGGCCAGCCCTGCAGCGCACACGGTCCTGGAGCTGGACAGGTCGGACGGAGCCTGCAGCAGGCGCGGTGGACAGGAAGTGCCGGCCAGAGGCAGTCCGGGTTGCCACCTGAACGTCCTTGCGCAAAGGGGAAGAACCCCTGCGGAGAGTCCTGAGCACAGCGAGCGAAGAGTGTGTTTGAGGAACCAACAGGGGCGGGTGCTGCACCTAGAGCAGGAGGTGGGGCGCCCCGCCCCGGGGCTGAGCAAACCACAGCAGGGCTTCTGCTCTCTAACAATAAATTAATAAAATCTTGAAAAAAACCAAAATCCTCCTGACAATGTCACCCGGCTGGGACACACTCGGCTCTGTGTTGTGGACAGAGAGGTCTGGCCCATGTCTCGGGCTGGCGTGGGGGTGGGCATGGCGACGGCTGTGGTCGGGGGTCTCATCCTTGGCATCCGTGTGACCCTGGCGGTCCCCTCCCCAAGGAAAAGCCCTAAGCGGGGTCTCACTGGCTGCAGCCCCTCAGAGAGCGTCACCGCTTGTGCGGGCTCCACGGAAGCCCCCCTCCAACACAGAGGGTCCGGTGCAGAGCCTGCCGCCCGCATCGCTCCAAGGGCCAGTCATGCATGAGCAGGTAGACCACTCGGGCGGGCGTCACAGAGAGCGTATCCAAAGGTCAGAGGCCGCAGGGCACGCGGACACACCGAGAAATGAAGCGAGGACCCAGAGGATGACCAAAGCAGGAAACAGAGTCAACCTGGACTCTTGGGCAGAAACGTAGCCCATAGCAACAGGCGGCCTTGGGTAAGGACAAGCACGTAGAGGGAGAGAGAGATGTGCACAGAGGGTGTGTGTGAAGGTTCTATTTCATCTTCTGATGTGAGGAGCCCGTGGTGCGTGACAAAGGCAGGACACGAGTTTATGTGCATATAAACTGTCTGGCTGCTTTTTGTACTTTGTTGAGTTCAGGGTCATGTACGGTTGGCGTCATGCAGCAGCATTCCCTCCTCCCTTATTCAGGTGTGGTGTGTCTTCATGGAGACCTGGCCATCTTTTGGTGTCCGGACAGACACGGCCTTGGCACCCGAGGCTGAACCACTCTCAGCTCTGACTGCACTTGGAGAGCGAAGACACTGCGAGGAAACAGACCCAGGTGGCCCGTCACCCCCGTCTCCTCCGACTATCTCGTTGTACTTATGAGGAAGCACCGTTATCGATGCCACTGGGAGGCAGTTTGAGAAGTTGCTGTTGATGTCTTTTCTCTCTAGATAACAGGGCACTTTTGCTTTCTATGTTGTGCACAGGAGCTTTAACGTTACACCCCATCCATGCCAGCTTGGACTTTCATCATAGCAAGAGGAGCACAGGTAACTGCCAGAGGCCGCGTCTTCCTTGGTGCTTTTAGACCGATGCCATTAACACGTGCTTGGAGTGGAACGCTGAGGTCTTGCTCGAGGAGAGGAGCAGGTGTCCTGTCGTACTCTTCCCAGAGCCCTCCCTGCTGGAAACGAGACTCCCCGCACAGCCGGGGGAGCCGCGGAGGTTCGGAGGTTCGGAGGTTCGGAGGTTCGTTTCCTCCTAAGTCAGCCGAAATGATGTCACTGTGGGGCCCATCCGTCGGATCCCAGAGCACTCTCTAGGGATTTCTCTCCTTAGAAGCTTCAGGCTTAGCTTCCTGCTGCCTCAGGGACCCCTGAGGTTAAAGACCATCTATGCTTTTAGGTCAGCAAGTAGGGCTAGGACTTCTACTTTGGGAATCTCTCCTCTGTCCCTGTATGGCTTTTCGTTGGTTTGTTCTGCACATTTTCCCCCATGGATGGAACCGATGAACAAGGTGATGAGGAACTACCTAGACAGTTAGGGAATCCTTCCCAACAACACATTCTGCCCCATGGGCAACCTCATCCATCGCAAGCCTATCGTTTCTGTATCTACTGAGAATGAAAACCAAAGTGAGATCATTGAACGTGTAGCTCATCCTTCCAACCCCTGAATTATTTTTTATTAAAGGACTTTTTCTTATTGAAAATGATCTGAGAGCCCACCGTTACGCGGCAGTCGTGGGACAGGTTTCTGGAAGGGGGAGTCCCCTTTTCTCCCCTCGCGTTTGAGGTCCGCCCCGAGCTGCAACCTTCCTCTTCCCAGCGTCTGTCGTCTCTGTGAGGAGTCCTGAGGCTGAGTTCCACGGCAATTCTTCATAGAATAAAGCAGCATTTAGAGTTGAGGCTGTTGTGAGGTGAGCTTCAACCTCCACCGCAGGTGCCAGGTCCTTCCGTTGCTGCGGAGCTGTCTGTCGGCTCTTCCCTTGCCTCGTGGCCAGCGCTGCCTTTCTATGCACATAATCACGGAGGGGGCTTTGTAATCACACTCCACCCGGTGACCCGCCGCCGCCGGAGACGTCTGCGCTGCCGTCGGTGTGGCAGGAGGGAAAGATGCCGGCCCTGTGGCCTCGCCTTCCTGCTCATGGGCCGAGCGCCAGCGGAGGAGCCCCATGGGCCCACCTTCTCTCCTAGAACCTCCTGCCCCGAGTGTGAAGACAAGAGCCGTGGGAGGCCCTCTTCTGTGAACTGGGGAGGGAAGGGCCAGCTGCTGGACTGTGTGCGATCTTCAAAAGGATGCCGAGATGCAGAACATGGTGAGCCTTTGTAAGGCGGAAAGGACACGCCTTGTTGAGAGCAGGTGTGTGGTTTCCATGCGGTGCTTCCTGAGAGTCACTGTGTACGGAGAAAAGGGACATTCTCCTTGCTCCTTTCCCGCCCCGGCCCTGGGAATAAGCTGTAGAGTCCTAGCACCCCCTGGTAGCAACCGCCCCCGCCTCCCCTTCCTTGGGCAGACCGCGAGCTGCCACCAGCGCACCCGCCCCCATCTCTCTAACAACGCCGCCGCCGGGGGCCTCCCTGCCCTCAGCTCCCCATGCCGCCTCCTGCCTGACCCGTCACCTCCCCGCCCCGCCAGCCCCCCAGACGGGTGGGCACTTGGCAGAGGCCCTCCGCACACGCGGGGCCCTCATCCGCGGCAGATCGCGGCTCCGTGACAGGCAGGTCCCTGGGAGTGGCTCACACGTGGGAGCACTTCGTCCTCACAGCACAGCACCTCCTGTGGGTCTCGGGGCCCTCTCTCTGTGTCCCCGCCTCCCTGTCCCCGGCCACAGCGGCCACGGTGGGGCTTGTTCGAAATGAAAGAGCACCTTCTGCTCTTCTTATCGGCAGAACGAGGCCTTCTTCCAATGACAGGTGACTTTGCTGAGGCACCATCTAAAAGGGGTGACTCCCAGGTAGAATCCCAGACCCTTGGCAGCTGTTCCGTGGGACTGAGTCCCGCTGGGAAACACCGCCAAGGTCATTGTCTTTTGTTTTCTTTTTCAATTGTTGTACTTTTGTGAATATTTTTGATACATCTTTTTTGATTAGAGAAAATTGAAAAGGAAGCTGAAAGAAACCCAAAGTGTCTGACCTAAAGGGAGCCAGACAGAGCAGGGCAGGATGTGGGGACAGGCGGACGCGGCCAGAGGAAGGGCATTGGCAAGGGATGTGATGGGCCTTCAATGCAGCCGGTCGGAGGTTCAGCTGGAGAGTAAAGTCATCAGTTGGTTTGTCTAAATTCACCTGCAGGACAGAACAGGGCGAAGGGGGCCCATGTAGCAATTGCGGAGGGGAGAGCTGATGGAGCCCAGATGGGGGCACAGCGTCTGGCCACGATATGGGTCCATGTAAGGAACATGGGCGGGCCATACGGGGAATCCTGGGTGGCTGTGTTATCTGGTCCTTGACCAGCAGCCTTCACTGAGAAAACAGGAGGGCACTGAGGAGGAGGCAGGGGTGAGCAGGTGAGGACCAGGGGTCCAGTGTTGCATCTGTTGGGTCTCAGGAGTCTAGAAATCAGCACTGCTATCCCATGGGTGTTGGCAGATAGACAGGTAGATAATATATACATAGATGATAGATTACCATATAGATATAGGTGATAGATGGATAGACATAGAAGTAGATGACATGAAGATTGGTAGATCATTAGATGACAGGTTGATGGATAAATAAATGATAGGTAGGTAGATATATATCTATGTAGATATATATAGACATACATAGATCCTTGGATATATAGATACTTATATAGATACACGGTTACATAGATAAATACAGAGTTTGAGAATTCCATAGATACGTACATAGATCAATGGTTACATAGACAGACACATAGATACTTAGATACATAGATAGTAACAGAGATACATAAATACTTAGACACATAGTATTTATGTGTCTAAATACTTAATAGTATTTAGTTACTATTAACTAAATATTACTTAACTATTTAGTTAAGTAAATGTAACTAAATTTACTGATTTAGTTACATTAGTACATTTAACTGATTTTACCAAACAGTTAATTAGTAATTAACTAATTAACTTAGTTAATTAAGCAATTAACTAATTAATTAACTTGGTTCATTTAAATACATAAATTGTATTTAAATACATAGGTACTTAGATACATAGGTAAATACCTAGACAGTAGTGAGAGAAGCTTATTGGCTTGGTTTCTCGTCCTCACAGACCGATAGTCCCCAACAACCCATTTATGCAAACACTTTGGTT